TCCCCTCTCTTCGCCTGGTTCTCCGAGTCACCGGGTACCTGCATCACCAGTACTGCTAGAACTGTCCGCTGTATCACTCCGGCAGGTCGTACACAAATAGGTTCGGGTCGCGACGCTATGCCTCGTTGTTTTCGTCGGCAGCGTATGCTGATCTCTATGTGCGTTGATATGAGGTGACCTCGGCGGACCTGGCGCGCGGCCACTGTGTTGTGCGTCCTGTTTCTCCAGCACTTACAGTTTCTTGATTTGGTTTGATTGAGTTTTCGTCCCCTGCCCCCTTCTCCCTCCCCGTGGCGACCGAGTCCACTGACTGAAACTGTCCTAGGAGACCTAACGCGATCATGAACTTTGCCACGATCGGCGCTGCCTTTGATTCTTTTAATATTTCTTCCTCCCTGAGCATCGTTGAAACGCCCGCTTCGAACAATTCCTCCATCATCTCTGCCCGCGACTCTTCTAGGAGTGGACATTCGAGCAGAACGTGTCGCACACTCTGGTTCCCTAGGTCGTATTTACAGCGCGGTAAGTCTGTCTTCTTGATTTTATACAGGTACTCGGCCAATCCGATAATACCTGTGCGCAATTGGATTAAAACTGATGTTGTCGCTTTCCGCAGTCCCTTCCAGTAGAGTAAATTTGATTTGTTCGGAATATCGATTAGCCTCTGAGTCCTCCGCGTAGTCCTTCCTCCCTTCGACCACGATTTCTCCTATGCGACCGACGATTCCTGCTTGATACTCTTGCTCGCTGCGGCGGCAAGCCGGATAAATCGGTTATGATCGGTGTTGGTCTGGTGGATGTCTGTCTGGATGTCTGTTTGGACGTCTGTTTCCTAGGTGGTGGCTGTAGTTTTTGTAAGTATGTCGGCGGTCTTATTACCTGGAATGCCTTCGTGGGCTGGAATCTAGCGTAATTTAACCTGGATCTTCCTAGTGCTCTATTCTAGTAAGCGGAGGCAGCCTTCTAGGTAAACCTAGCTGGACGGTATCCTGGGGTTCCGGATGGCTCTGAGAGCAGCCTGGTTATCTGTAAAGATAACCGCTCCTCTCTCTACTAGCCGGTCCCGCTATTGGCTGTCAACAAATCTCTCTTTGATGATTTCTAGCGCCATCTTAACAGCACGCAGTTCAGCTGCGTATACAGTGGCGTTATTGTCAGTCCCTATGTTGCACTGCCTTAACTTATCCTGGATAGTCGGGTAAACTAGGTATACTGCTGCCCTAATACCACCCTGGTATCCGCTGCTATCAGTATAGAGTTGAACTGGTCCGCGCAGCTGGTTCGCTATCCTGTTATGTGTGTTTGTTGCTTACTCTCTCCCTTCGATGTAGACCTTTGGTGGCTTAGTCTATGGTGCCTGGATGTATGCCTTCCGGCTCTCCCAGTCTCCTGCCACAGTTCGTGGGGTCCTAAGGCATCCATCCTTCTTCCAGGACTGGGCCTCCATCGGCGTCTATCCTCCCCTTTGTCTTTGTATGTTGTTTCTTTCTTTAAGCATCGTTTTTGGGACTGCGTATCGTGGTCCTGTACGAATACGTACAGCAGTCAGCCGGGCTAGCCGGTCAAGCTGCTGCTGCATAGGTAGTAAATGAAGTTCAACATCTAGTGCCTCCCTTGCAGTCGTCTTAAAAGCCCCGCTCATCAAGCAGGCAGCCCTTGACTGGATACTTGCAAACTGTTTCACGTAGCCTCTCTCTCTCACAGTGGTAGTGAGTGGTGAATGCCAGGCCGCCACTCCGAAGAGCATCTGCGGAATCATTACCGCCTGGTAAATCGCCCGCATCGCGGAGAGAGACGCCCCCCATGTAGAGCCAGTCAGGCCTCTCAGGGCCTGTAGACTGACTCCTGCCTTAGCTAGCATCTGCTCTCGGTGGTGCCGGAACGTCAGCCCTGGGTCTAGCCAGACCCCGAGATACCGCTCAGCCGTCGTGGTGGCCTGTACTGTAGTACTCGGTAGTACTAACGGCGTATATCTCTCCCCTCCCTGATCCAGATCCCCCCCGGGGGCCGGGTTAACAAAGTGGATTAATACGTATTTCTTCGGATCGAACACCGAGGCATGCCTGGCAGCCCAGGCATCGGCATGCTGGCAGGCCTTTTGTAGTTTGGAGATGTTTTCTTGCTCGCTTTTCCCGGTTACAATGAATGCCACATCGTCAACCCAGGCGAGTGGGTGGGGCTATTCAATGGATCTTTGATTTTGCCAAAAAGCTTCATTTCAATACATGGGCGAGATAGAGCTTGTGAACCACCTTACAAAATTGAAAGGCCTGGATCTGCATAGTACCAAAGGCTTCATTAGAACCACCTGAAACATATAGGTAGGTGCATTGAAATAAACCGAATGCAACCAAAATCTACGAAGGATACCACCCCGTCCGAGTATACATGATCAGTCCGATCGGAACAACAACTGTACCGAGAGAGGGAAACTCTGTGTACGGAGGAGGGGCATCTGAAGACGTGGCCTGGGTATCTGATTGTGCCTGGTAGTATGTTAGCTGATGTGGGCTGTGCCTCGGTCGAAGTGACTGACAATATTGGGGGATGCACAGAGTATCATGGCATGCTGAGGCGAGTGGATATGGTGGTTTGTTGCAAATACATCGGCTTCTAGATGTGGTCAAGCCTGGTTGTTAGAACAGATGTCAATAGAAAGTTGGGTAGTAATACTAACGGGAGGAATTGGGGCTGGTGACTATTCCGGCGCCCAATTCAAATCTTATACCTGTTAGAATAGTTAGCGGACTGTCTTAATATTCCAAATGCCCATCTTCCCTTGCTGCGAAGAAGACTCACCTGCTTTTCTGGCTGTATACTGCTCCTGGAAAACCGAGCAGACGGCGCATTCGACACTGCGGCAAAGATCCAAAGGATAACCGACATCCCCAATATAGCAGGCACGACGAGCACCGTAGAAGCGTAGTGGAAAATCTCCTAGCAGTGTGAGTAGCTCAACATCGCGACTAAAAATGGGGTTAACGACTTTATGGCCTATTCTTTATACATATACAACAGACTAATGTTCTGGGAAGGTGTACGTACCTAGCAGTTTTGTATGAACCCGGAGTTTGCCCGTCGGGGTGAAGTGGATAAGTTTTGATATCGAAGAGGATTATCTCTTCAACTTGGGAGATCTTGGTTTGATCGATCCATGAGTCCTGAAAAAGGCGTTCAACTAAACCATGGATTATTAACCGAGGGGTAGAATACTGGTACAACCGAAATCTACCTACCTCTTTTTGAAAATGGAGTATACCTGTCCAGCGGACTCAGTTCCTAACGGAGGTAAGCAACTTCCAAATGAAGCCCCTCAATGTCCACATACCACGACCATCTTCGTCGACACTGGCGGAGGAGGATTTTGTGGGGTTGCCCTGGATGATCTTTCAATGCGCTCCGAGGCATAGGTCTGGTATTCAACGACTGCATTGCTTCGGATATCCCTAGGACGCCTCTCTATAACACGGGGAGGCATATTTGCAAAGTCAACAGGAGGTTCAGTTTCGGAGGTCGCCGAATCAGAATATGCCATTAAGATGTCCTCATCAACATGTGCAGGAGGCAAGGAGGATCTTTCGGGCGGCTTGTCACTATTTCGGTTCAGCCTCGTCGGAGCTCTGCCAAAATCGGAGGCAAGGAAAGTACCTATCCATGCTGTCGGATTGGAGTATAAACACTCTACACAGCACGACGACAGTAACTAACGCAAAAGAAAAGTAAAAGCCCTCTATCACATTCAACGACCATAAAAAGCCCAAAATTCTATTCATGTAAAAGTATGGTTTCACATGGATGGCTTAGGCAGAGCAGACGTGGAAGTGCGGAGGCTCTTCCCCCAGAACACCCGCCTGAGATATTGTTTGCCTACAACAAATATCACACCCAGGTAAAAGCCACATTTCCCAAAGAAGAAACAAGCCCGTCGCTTTGGGTTGGGTCTGGACGAGTCAGCCTCGTTGGGCACACTAGCGTGTGATGACTCCGCATGAAAACTACACCTAAAATCTGTGGCACAGTTCTCACTCTTGCAATACAATATCATCATTATTTGAAAATTACGGCGCCAAAAAAAAGGAAACATGTGTAATTGAAAGATGAGACAACATAATATGAGTATTCTAGCAATAATAAATCGGGGTAATCAGAAACAATTAACGTGGTGTCCATCCCTCTCGGGTGTATACGACTAGACCGAGGGGCTTGATTCTTGCTGGGTCGTAGACAACAGTCTCTGGGTATTCGAGTTGACCACCTTCGGCTTTAGTGAGCCCTTCTACCTGTCGATATAGTCAGCTAACCATAACCGATATGTCCTCGATCAGGAACATACTGAGTCACATGGGCCTGGATTTCCCGCAGCTTTCATGTCTACAGAATAGCCAGCGTCAACCCCACAGAGAATTAGGACATGCGCGTGCGACCGGATGTGGTGGTTTCTGCTATAGATGTCGGCTTCTGGAGGGATATAAGTGAGTAACTATGAAGCAGCAGAGAATGGACCAAGGAGAATATGGAGCTTACTGGAGGAGACCACACTCGAGTAAATTCCAGCTCCGAACATGGATCCAGCATCTAGCACCGTATGAGAATAATATGGTCATGAAGCAGATGTTGTTTTGCAAACTCACTGGCGTGATTGGTTGAAAACCCCTTTTTGAGGATGCTACAGAGATAGCATTCTATGTTGTCGCAGGGTTGTAGAGAACCATTCCCGATCATGCAGGCGCGCTGTGTTCCATGGAATCGAAGCTTCAGTCTGGGGTTTTTGGCGTTTTTTCTGAAAGCGAAGACTTCAGCTTAGCATCGATACTCTACTTGCTGGCAGCCGAAAGGGTATACATACACGACGTAGATAGACACAAGCTTGCCCTTTGTCTTGGGGTGTTTCCACTCGCTCTTGAACATCCGCGAAACTAGCAAATTCAATGTTGGATCATATCTTTGAATATCTTTGGGTCAATGGATTTCGGCGTACCTTGTTGGTAAAAGCGGGTGTTGTCCTCTAAACGTACCAGTTCCTATAGCAAATGATGAGCAAAGGCCAAAATAATATTTCTGAGGTAACCCGTACCATGATCTTGTCAGCCACTATCACTGCAACTGAAGAAAAGTATAGCTAGCAACCGGATGGAATATCTACCCCTGGTTAATAAGCCTAGTTCTCTATTTAATACCGAGTCTGAGGCTACATAGTATCAAACCAGTGTTTTACAATTTCAGTATCAATTAGGCTGCCATCATCCCATGACTAAAAAGAACACGCGGCATGCGCCAAAAATCAGTGCTGATGGCCCGATCCAATCGACCTGATATTTGCCGTAGTGCATGCTAACGCTGGTTCAAATATGGTCAATTCTCTCTCTGACATTAAATTAGCAATTAACAATACCCAACAGAGAATATGTCTTTACAGAACATCAAGTCAATGCTGTGGGACTTGGTGGATGAATACCGCCAGCCCACTGCAGACCCAAGGCATACACCACCAAGTCATCGTTATAATCGCCGCCATGGAGATACCGAAGAAAGCCCCCAAAGGCAAGCCCTCAGACAAACCGCCCAGGAGACCATGAACGTTCTCCCAGGTCTTCTGAATCACCTCAACTCTGCCAATGAGGCCCACAAATCTAAGAAATTATCCTCGAATATCATCAGAGCCTTGCACCCAAACAACTGCCCGCGCTTCCCATCGCCCGCGACGATCAAAGTCATCAACGACGATACCCTCAACGTGGCCGTCAGATTGTTTGAATCTACACGAACACACCGTCTCAATCCAAGCCCCGCGAACCCCCGGCCAATAATCATAAACTTCGCCAGCCACCGAAAACCAGGCGGAGGTTGGCTAAACGGCGCGATGGCACAAGAAGAATCACTCTGCTACCGTAGCTCCTTGGCGCTCAGCCTCCACAGCAGGGATTACCCGCTCGCTCTCGACGAGTCGATTTACAGCCCCTACGTGCTGGTTATGCGGAGTGACCTGGCCTCCGGACATACCCTGCTAGCGTCTCCCTCCACTCCACCAGAGGATCTTCCTGTTGTTAGTGGGATTACGATCGCGGCTCTCTATCGACCTGCAGTTCGGACACTGGTGGCGAGGGATCCCCAGATAGGGCGACGTGGCCACAGCCCACGCTCACACCACAGCTCACCTTCAGCCTCACCATCCTGTCGACGAACTCAACAAGTTTTTGCGCGCGATAAGGACCGCAACCTTACCAAATCAAAAATGAGGCAGTCGCTCCGTATTGCAGCAGCCAATGGGCACGGGATGTTAGTCCTTGGAGCTTTGGGCTGTGGGGTGTATTCAAATCCCCCTGCTGAGGTTGCGCACTGCTGGCTCGAGGTTCTGAGGGAGAATGAGTTTCGTGGGAACTGGTGGCGGGAGGTGTGCTTTGCTGTCTATGATCCGAAGAACGAAGGCAACTTTGCGACCTTTGAACGGGTGTTGGCTGGGAAGAAGGTCTAATTTTGCTTTTTTTTTTTGGTTCTCCTTTGTTTTTATCCTCTTTTTTTATTATTGTTTTATGAATACATGTATACAGGATGATTTATTGGTTGATACTTTACACCGTACGGAGTATATCATGGAAACATGGCTCGGGCCTTTGCCTCGGCTGAGGTTGCCTTGCAAGGCTGCCTTGGTGATTTGGCAACATCTTGTCCAATACTTTTTCTAAACTTGGCGTTAAGTAAGACCAATACGAAGCATCAATTTTACCGGGGTTGATTGGTAAATCTGACAAAATACCGATTATCTCTGGTGTTCTAATCGGAGGCGCCAAGGGTCAAGATGAGGCTCTGTGGCTGCGGTCTAGCCCATACAGCCGGCAGAAATGCATTGAGGAGAACAATTTGGGTCCTTCCCCTAAAATTTCAAAGTTCAAGGGGCTCACGATATTCACATTTCATTGCCGCTCAATATGGCACACAGCGGCAGAGATGAGGAATGGCTTCGAGCCCAGTTGCACACCCTGAGAGGGCCAGGCCCCAACGATCAACCCATCCAACCCCTAATATCGACACATTTCCCAACATGGACTCTTACAGAAAATAATCAGGCAGTTCTCTTCCTTACTCAGGCGTCGGAAGAACGGAGAAATGGCGAGGTGAAAACAATGACGCACCCGGTCAAGATAAAGCAAGATAAATGGACGTACGAAGACTACAACAGCGTCTTGAAAAACATGGTCGGCGCCGGACTTGTACCTGTTGGCGTTATTGAGAGTGTCTTGAGCCATTTTAAGACCCATCAGCCCAAAAAGGCCCGGACGGGAACCTTGAAATTGCGGAAGTCAGTGACGGACGATGAAACAGATTATCTGATGGTCGACCTAATGACCACAGCTTTGGCAAAAAACCGACTTGATCAACTCCGAATTCTAGCTCACTCCGCGGGCTCGGATGTTGTCAGCAAAGTCATTCCAATGGCGATTTGGACCGACAACATAAAGGGCGTCCAGGTTCTCATGGAGGAGAAGGCCGATACGAATACCTGCGCGGAACAATTCTTGGGATCTGCTCTAGCTGGGAGGCTGGATATTATCCGTCTCTTACTTCGATCTCAAAAATCTGTTTCAAGTGATATCACGACACAGGCGTTGCCCGCTGCAGTTCAGCTTGGGAACCTTGAAATGGTCCAGCTGCTCCTCACCCATGGAGCCAATCCAAATTTCGATAACGGTCTGGCACTGAAAAACGCAATTGATGCCGACCATGCTGATATTGTCTTTTTGCTTCTTCTATGCAAGATACCCCCTACTGGTGTTCTGTTAGGATCGATGATATTATATGTATGGTCAACACCTCACATCTTCGCAAGACGCCAAGGTCAACTAATCGAGGTTCTACTGAATGGAGGTGCCTGCGGGAATGATGTTGATGTGGTCTTATCGGGTGCCGTCAAGCAGCGTTGGGGGGAATTAGTGCAGCTGCTGATGAGAAAAGGGGTCTCTATTGCCTGCTGTGACGGCCAAGCTTATAGGGAAGCAGTATATGCCGCTGATTACGACATGCTTGAGATTCTCAATGGGAGCGATCTAGGGAAAGACTTAGCAAGTGACATTTTTGCCTCCATTGACAGCAATCGACATGGACAAGAAATATCGCCGCAAGACTGGTGGAAGCTTGCCTTATCTCTTCTGACCCAAGGAGCTGCCGGTGATGTTGTTCACGAGGCCTTGGTTAATCGAGTGCACGCGAGGGATCTCACAAGCGTCGTGTTGCTCCTTGAGTTCGGTGCTTCGGTGGATTATAACGGCGGACGTGCATTGGTCATGGCAGTTTCGCTTGAAGAGTTGGATTATGTCGTACTGCTCCTTGATCGACAGCCTACAATTGAGTCGGTCAACGCAGCCATTGCCCACGTGTCCAATATTTCTCATCATGTACAGTTGGACATTACCCGCAGACTTCTCGAGGCTGGAGCAACCGGAGTTTCCGTGGATGCAGCTTTGAACATCGCTGTGAACGTACCTATATGTCAACGAGATCATATCTTTATAGAAGCTCTGGTTGACGGTAAAGCAGATGTTGGCCAGAAAGAGGGCTCTTTGTTCCACGAAGCGGTCCAGGATGGAGACGACAAAACCCTTGAGATTTTACTGGGTGGCGACTTCCCAATTGCCATTCTTTTCACATGTATCCCTCTTGCTATGAGTCTTAAAGAACAACGGCGGTACAAGATACTGGAGATTCTGCTCGACAATGGCGCCGAAGGCGGTCCTGTAATCGGCCAGGCTCTGGTTGACAGCATTGACGAAACGAAAGACTCATCGATCCGGGTGACTGAGCTGCTGTTAAAAAATGGGGCCGCGAGCACTGCCTTCAATAAAGGAGAAGCATTCACAAAAGCGATATTGTGCCAAAATCTGGAATTCTTGAAGCTCTTGCTTCAATTCAACCATCTTGACGAGTCGGAATTCTGTTCGTGTCTGTTATTCGCCATAAGCCTCCCTCGGAACGATGCCAGACTAGAGAAAGTCGGGCTCTTCCTCGCTATTGATGTGGAGATGTCAAGCGAGTATTGGATCGCCTCTCTGAACCACGAGATGCAATGCATGAGGCAGGATGACAAAGAAACCTTAGTGGTGATCGGATTTATCCTCGACGCAGGAGCCGATATCAATCATAACCAGGGAGAGATACTCTGCAATGCGATAGACATGGGATATTTTGAATGCTTCAAATTATATCTCGGTTGCAAGCTTCTCATTCCATCACACGAGGCTGCATTCAACAAGGCATTTGCTCATGCCATCAAGACCACTGATTTGCGGTATCTAACAGAAGTCCTCAAGCTAGAGACTCCAACATCTCTCCTTAATGGCGCATTGCTCACGGCCACGGAAGGTGGAGAGCAAATGAGAGATATCTGTGAGCTGTTGCTTCAGCACCATGCCTCTCCCAGTCACCAGAGCGGTTCCCCATTGTGTAATGCAATCAAGTCCACCAACTATCATATCAGGATCATCAAGCTGCTATTGGAGTTTCAGCCCTCTAGCGAAGCTATTTCAGGCGCCTTAAACTGTGCATTTGATGTCCTTGGAAGCGAAAAACGGCGTGCAGCTGTGAAACTTCTCCTTACTTCAGCAAAGCCACAAGCAACACTTGACAAGTTGCTCTTGAGAGCCGTAAGTCTTCAATAGCAGACCAAGAGATAGTGCTAACCTTGTCGCAAATTAGATACAAGAGCCGTCGTGCGACCATTCTCTACTCAAATATCTACTTCGGGCCGATGCGTCAGTATCATACCAAGATGGTAAATGCATCCTTCATGCAGTGATGAAGAATGACATTAAATCCTTGAAATTGCTACAACCATATTTCACCGAACCATCGGCTATTGTTTCACGGGTATTTGAACGTGCGTGGAAGGACGGAGCTAGAGCTGAATCCCACGAAGCCGTCCTCTCCCTCCTTCTGGAAGAAGGCGCAACGGGTGAATGGTTAAGTGTTGCGCTGGTCGATACAATTGAAGCATACGAATCCGCAACAAACGACTTCTTATTAATTATCAGTCTTCTGAAGGCTGGCGCTGATGTCAACTATGATAATGGTGCCAGCCTTGTAAAGGCGGCGGCAAAGGGGAATGTCGATATACTTCAGAGACTTTTCGCCTATGGCCCACACAGCGACCATATGACGCTGGCATTCCCACATATATTTGCCTCTAGTGTGTCCAGCCGCACGATCCATGCCCTTATTATAGAGTTTTGCTCTCATCAGTCACAGCCAAGTTTTACCGATACCCCCAATCCCATCCTGTTTCTGCTACTGCAGAGATATCCTCAAGAAATAAAGTCGCTCAAATATCTGATAAACGCAGGTTGCCCAGTTGATCCCCCAGTGGAGACAGAATGGGGCCCATATTTGTCGTTGTTACACTGGGCGCTCATAGAAGGGCGGTACAATATTTCCGACGAAGTTTTTGACGTTCTGCTGGATGGTGGAGGTACGCTCTACATCAAGAAGTTGGTAACTGCTCTACTAACCTACTACCAGCAAACCCAAACCGCAAGACTACGTCAGGTCTCACACCTCTTGAGCTTGCAATCTTATTACCACGACGTGAAGTCGTTGCAAGCCTCCTACGCCATGAAGCTGACACCACAGTGACCACAGGGACAGCTGATTCGCAGTCCATGCTTTTTCTCGCCGTAACCACAAGGGACAGCCACATTGTCCGGATGATCATGCTAGCTAGCCTGATGGTGCGCGATGGGGCACTCCATGAAGCCGCCCGAGAGGTAGACGTCAAAATCATTGAAATCCTAGTCAGAGAGGGAAATCAACGCGACTACGCCTACTCTGGCTGCAATGGTCGCACCGCATTGGCTGAGCTCTGTTTGAGAGCAGATGGAAACAAACCAGCATCTGAGCTTAAGCGGGCAATGACACTTCTGAAAGATGACCACAACTTCAGACAGAAATCAAACGGAAAATCGGCCCTTCACTTGGCACTGGACAACCCGCGGAACGCACCATCTATGACACAGGCTCTTCTCGACAGTTTCATGGCAGACTACGTGAACAACGACTTCAATCTATACAAAGAAGACGAACTGGTATACTCCCCCCTAGCCTACGTCGCGAAGCATCGGAACATGGCATCTTCAAAGCATGATGAATCTCTACTCCAGCTTCTCACCCAGTTCGGGTGCAAGAACAGGTTTTGGGCCCGAGAAGGATATCCGCAGCCCGGGGACGTGATCAATCCACCAGATGATATTGCCCAAATTATAAGCAATCAGAGGAGTAAAGAACGGATGTTGGAACGCCTCCATATCCAGTCCAAGGCAGCGCAAGCCACCATATCGGATCGACACGAGCTTATACTCAAGAATGAACAGCATGCAGCCGACCAGAGAGCAAAGCTAGAGAAGGAAGCCGAGGAGCGCTACATGTCCATAGCAACTAGTCGATATACTGCGGAGCTTGCACATATGGACCAGCTCGCTCACCTGGCCTTTGCAGGCTATCGAAGCTCTGCCAGCCTTGAACTGGACGGTCCATTGGCCGAGTACGCCCAGTTGGATCGTAAAAGGCAGAAAGCTGAGCTAGAACACCTTAAAAAACAGCAAACTTTGATCACCGCTGGCTATAAAGAGCGGGCGGAGATCGAGAAGAAGAATCGCGAGACTAATGCGCTCGAGATGCGGCGTCTTCGAGAGCTCTGGTATGAGATTGACCCATGGGACCAGACCGGATAGTGCCCAGTGTGTATAGTAGTAATTAATGGAATGGACCCATGCTCAGCTGAATAGAAGTTAGTTTTAGTTTTGAATAAAATCCGACCAGTAAGGGTCGGTATATCGCAGAAAAGGTAAAAGTTTAATGTTGTCACAAGATATATATTGAAGAGTTTTATTGCAGTACCACTATATACTTTCTAAATGAACTTCAGCAATTCATAAATTAGCGAAATGCCGCGTTTCTTTGTATTTTTGGACCGAATATAGAGAGGGAACTAGTATTAATTGATTCTAAATTATTCAAACTAATAAAATATTACCTTTAGAATAAGGCTTAAACACGGGGGTAAAACGAAGGGTACATTCAAAACCCCTAGAAGGGGATTCAACTTTTGCTTGGTATCTGAATTTCCGGTATATCTGTACTGCTTAGGGCCTATTTAGGGGCCCATTAACCCGCAGTGGGCTTTGTGGGCTCTGTGGAGCTCTACACTGGTTATACATGGAAAAGTCTCTTGCACAAAGTATGCTTTTTTAACCGCCTGCACATATATTCAAAGAGACCTCTACAACAACCATCTTGAAACGACCAGCTAAAAATATATCAGAAGGCCTCAAACACAGCCGACTCTTCTTGCATAATATAACGTTGGAGGTACATATAGATCTGTACCGAACGGACTTACCCAATTGGGTTAGCCTGGCACCAATTCACTTTGATCGTAAAAAACACGCAGCAAAAATGGCGAGGATAATATAAACAACCCCTGCCAGTGTTAACAAATATTAACACACAGTTAATCTAGGAATTCGACGGATCACTTACTGAAAACCGAATTCATGGAAGTGTAGCCAAACCTTTCCCGGAGGAATCCAGAGATGGCTGGGCCAATGGTCATCCCGCTGGTCGCAGCGACATCAGTCATAGCATACACGCAAGACAGGCCCCCGCGAGGTCCAAAGATACCCGGAGTCTCCTTCTCGTAAGCTCGAACAGAAGCTGAGAATGTGTCAATCAAAGGTCTTGCTACAAGTCAGAAAAATCGATCGGGACTTACCAGTCACTTCCACAGGCCCAACACCAGTCACAAAAGGTCGCAGAACACCAAGACAAATAATCGATGATATATACAATGCTGGACCCCGATGCTGCAAAGTTGTCCAGGGGAAATGCTTATTCCCGGCCACTCCGACAAGGACATGAAATACTGCATGCAGAGCAAGACTGATGGTGATAGGCAATCGGACCCCGATGCAATCACGCAGCCATCCAGCCGGGGTACTGAGGAAGAGAGCGGGGACAGAGAGGAGGAAGAACATTATCCCAACATCTCTTGGTGTCCATCCAAATGCCTCACCTGTGTGCAGAGGAAGTGTGGCATGGAAGCTGGTGAGGATGGCTGTGGTCAAAATCGTAACAGCCAAAGCTGTCAGCACGCGACTATCACGAAGCAGGAATATCCAGAATCCGAATGTGGTAGATGCGTCATGGGGCTCAATTTGCGTCTGTGAGGGGAGAAGGGTCGTTGTTTCATCCGAGTTATCAGAGTAAACAGGGCTCGAATGCTGTGGATTCTCTATCATCAACAAACGTGCGATGATATCAATGACCAAAATGCCAACGGGTACACTCCACGTCAACCAATATCCCACGGTATATCTAGTAGGATACCGGAGACCATGGGCCCGCTGATTATACCAGCGCTGGCAAAGGACATAATCACGCCCATCATTTTGCCCATGTCACTCTCATGCACAGTATCTGCTGCGGTAGCAAGGCCGACAATCCAGACGGCTGAGCCAGCAATTCCTTGAAGTACTCGACCGAGGAGAAGTACAACAAGTGAAGGTGACCACGCGACTAGAATTGTTCCCACGACACACCCCGCAAGAGATAAAAGCAGCGGTGTCCGCCTATTGGGCATCTTATCCGCAAAATGTCCAATTAGGGGACCGGAAATGGCAGAGACGAGGCCATGAAGGGTCAGGATTCCCGCAGTCAAACGTTGGGTTTGAGAGGGATCTTTGTGGAGGCGATCTTCGAATAGGTACGGCAGCATGGGTACCAGGAAACCATAGAGAAACAATTCTGGATAGGTTAGAGAAAATCACGCAAATAGAGCACGAATAGATACCAATGAACAACGCAATTGAAACGGTACTGATGATGAACCACCTAGAAGAGCGCCATGTATAGCCAATAGGCCTTGAGCTGGGGACGTCCATGTTTGTTAGAGTAGCTGTGAAGGAGCTTTGTAAAAGAATGTAAAAGGTATTAGGTAGTTGTTCGTAAGAAGAGAAAGTGAAAATTCAAAGCTCAGCCGCACCATGTACGGGGCGTTCTTAATTTGGTCAAAATCTTTACTATTAGTAGAATTTGCGCAAGCCAGATGTACCCTCATGACTGAAGTATGGGCGGCGCCCCATCAATTACGTTGCGCTGCTGATTAAATTGAGTAAAATGTATGCACTATGAGCTGCGTATGCGTAAGAGGCGATCTATCAGTAGCCTACCGTTGCAGCATGAGCATACCAAGACAGTGAGACATAGTGGTACAGAGTATACCACATCCAATACGATGCATCTAGCTGGTATAAACCAAGGGATAAAAATGAGCGGTGTGAGATAGGTCATTAATTGCATGTCAAGTGAGTTTACGGAGTAAATTGAGAGAATACACATGAAATCCGTCGGGTCCGAGATGAAAGTATGTGATGAGATTCGAGGATGCATGATACAGCCAGGATATTCATGCATAGTAATCCTTACTCCCTCCCACTACCCCACTACCCAGCTCCTCTATACTATTTATTGCCACCTGCAGGATCCTTCTCCTAAATAGAGGTGTGGAGCCGATCTGCAGCTATCCACTTGCTACATGGAAAATCGACAGTCACCCTTCGAAAATTGATTTACCCGTATAATATTTGATACTCTTTATTACATTCTACATAGATTCATATTTGGTTACCGTAGGTGGTTTCGGTCTTAAAAAAAATCGATTTGAGAGCGAAGTTGGGCAAAAAAAAGGGCAGAAACAACAAGAAAAAACATGCGCAGGTACCCTTGCCAGCATCGTGCCAGCAGCGAGGTTAGAGAGATCTAAGAACCTCACAGAGCTTGATCATCCTATAGGAAGGCATGGGAATTTATTCAGCTCGCCTCAAGTGCTCATCGTGCTACTGAAAATCTTGCACGGAGTACTCCGATCTAGCAGCCTAGTGCAGATCATTAGTGTCAATAGTCAGATCTTGTGCATTGGATTAACCCTCTTCTAGGGTAGCCTGCATGGGTTCATGCACCCTTATGTAACACTATGCTATTTGGTGACTTTACTAGCCACGAAACACACACTCAGTTAGTCCGACAAGAATTCTCCATGGGGATGTGTAAACTTTGGTATGTTCATGTGCGAGTTGAGCCCACTGTGGCGTTCATCATGAGATGTATATGATATTTGGAACACAAGGAAATTCACGCAAGTTCTAGTTATAAGAATGCAAATAAATCTCCTTGTTTTTGAATGGAAACAGTCAATAACATTCATCTCGAATTCTCCTCGGCTGGGTGAGTATAGCCAGACATACCATCGAACATGATCCCACCTACCGGCCAGCTGAGTGACATTCCCTCAGATCGTGCCAAATTTTTCTCACAAAATGTGGCAGAAAAGGCTGCGGGCGACATTATTGCCCCATTCACATTACTCGGCAAAACTGGATTGAGTCCGAGTGAAGCTAGAGCTCAGACGGCAGCTCAGTGCAATGTATCCGAGGATATGATCGAGGATTTATTCCCTTGCACAGCTCTGCAAGAAGGCATGATGACCATGACGGTCAAGCGGCCAGGACAATATGTCAGACGCTGGGTGTTTCGCCTGGCAAAGGACGTCGCGATGGATCAGCTTTTTAAGAAATGGGATGAACTTGTTGCACAGCATCCTATCTTGCGGACTCGAATCATTCAAACTTCGAGGCAGACAATGCTGCAGACAATACTTGCACATAAAACACGGTCGTCAACTGCCACGCATCAGGGTGTTGATCAATATATCGCGGAGGACGACACCTGTACTTTCGGATTGGGCACGCCTTTGGTCCGATTCGGCTTGATCAAGGAAACACGAAGTGATCAGCAATTTTTTGTGTTGACCATGCATCACGCAATTGTCGACGGAGGTTCGCTTGTGATGCTTTTCAATGAGATGCAAGTCAAGTTCCATCAGAATTTCATCAAATCCAGGTCAGCGAACAGTGCAACCCCGACTCCTTTCCAGTCCTTCGTGAAGCATCAAATGGAGACGGAGAGCAAGGTTATGAAATTTTGGGAGCGAAAGCTGGAAGGCTCAGATCCAGCAATCTTTCCCAAGCTGCCCTCCCAAAACTACGACCCCAAGGCCAATGAAATCCTGGAATACCGGATGACTGGGGTCCCTCGCCTTCAAAAGAATGGAATTCAACTCTCAACGGCGGTTTGGGCCGCCTGGTCCATTCTTCAAGCATCATACACGCATTCATCAGATGTCGTATTTGGTGTTCCAGTTACTGGGCGACAGAAAATCCCAGTCCCGGGTGTCCAGGAAATGATGGCTCCAACCGTTGCCACCGTACCTCTCCAGGTCCAGATAGATTGGGGGACCAACTTAGGCAAGTTCCTTCAAAAAATACAGTCCCAGGTGACCGATATGCTCCCCTTTGTCCACGTGGGTCTGTAAAATATCCGCCAGATGGGCTCATCCGGGGACCAAGCGAGCCGATTTCAAACAATTCTGGGTGTACAACGCCGCGCAGTGGTGAAACCCCGCGACAACAAAGTTTTCCAGTACGACAGCGAACGCAGCGCTCGAGATCTGGGAGTGTTTAACAGCAATGCTCTGATGATTGAGTGCCAGATCGACGCTGATGGCTTGCATCTACTGATCAGCTCTGATTCTGCGGTGATCAAAAGAGATCAGGTTGTGAGATTGGCGCAACAATTTGAGCATTTCCTACGCCAGATTTGTGACAGGGATTCGCAGTTAATTGAATTAAGGCGTATTGACACTCTTAGTCCCCAGGATGTCCGCGATGTTCAGCGGTGGAACGCAACTCGCCCCGTCAGAGTGAATCGATATGTACATGATCTCATTGCAGAGCACGTCAACGACCGCCCTGAAGCTCCTGCAATCTGTGCGTGGGATGGTAGTTTGACTTACCGCGAACTCGATGACCTGTCAAGGCGACTGCTCTTCATCTTGTGGAACTTGATGTTTGTCGGGGCAAAATTGTACCATTATTTTGTGAACGATCTATGTGGACATTTGTTTCTATGCTCGCAGTGATGAAGACCGGTGCTGCGTTTGTTTTCCTTGACGAAGCACTTCCGTTAGAGCGCATGAGGGAAATTGTCGCGCAAACCAGAGCCCAAGTGCTTCTCACCTCACAGAAGTCTCTTGAAAACGCTTCCGGGGCAGGAGTACCTGTCGTTGTGATGACCGGCGCCGGTGCAGACTGGTTGGAAAATTCCGATGATTCGGTACAAACCCGTCTTGAAACTCTTTCCTCTCAGGGTAGCAGGGGAACCCCTGCGGACTCCCTGTACATTGCCTTCACATCGGGCTCTACGGGGAAACCCAAGGGAGCCGTCATAACGCATAGCGGTTACGCCTCGGTAGCCTGTGCTCACAAAGGCCCCATGGGATTGAATCAGGACTCCCGAATGTTACACTTTGCGTCATACTCCTTCGATGCCAGCAACTTTGAGGCCCTCACAACATTCATTGCTGGTGGATGCCTCTGTATTCCATCTGAAGAAATGCGCAAGAATGATTTGGCGACGGCTATCACCAAACTCCAAGTTAATGCTATGTTTTTGAAACCAACTGTCAGTCGCTTGCTGACCCCGGAGGATATTCCCTCAGTTAAGATTATGCTGCTTGGTGGTGAACCGATTTTGGACAGTGACATTGAATTCTGGAATTCCCACCTGCATTTGAAGATTGTTTATGGTCCCACAGAGTGTTCGGCCATCTGCTGTTGCCTGCCTGATACCACCGAAGCTGACGCAGGTGCCATTGGCCATGGAACTGGGGCCAGCCTTTGGGTCGTGGACCCCTCCGATTATCATAATCTGGCTCCGGTGGGGGCAATTGGCGAGCTTATTCTTGAAGGACCTGTAATCGGCAACGGGTACCTCAATAATGCCGAGAAAACAGCTATGGCGTTCGTGGATCGGCCTAACTGGCATTCTAAGGTTCTCCAGCAGCCATATGATGAAAGCTTCTCTTGGTACCGCACTGGTGACTTGGTTCAATACCGTGAGGATGGCTTGCTCAAATACGTCGGACGAAAAGACCAGCAAGTTAAACTACACGGGCAAAGGTTCGAGCTCGCTGAGGTTGAGATCCATCTCCGCAATGTGTGGAAGGAGGCCAAGGATGTCGTTGCGGCCATTGTTACCCCGGTTGGTGGGAAAGCGACACTAGCAGCTTTTATATGGCTTGAGCGATCACCACAAGACCAACAGGCTATTTGCAGGGATATATTTGCGAGAACTACTTCAGAACAGTTCTCAACAAAGGCCCACGAAACACAGGGCGAGCTGTATAACCTCATTCCCAGCTACATGGTTCCCAGCCTTTTCATTCCATTGCATTTCATGCCACAGAGGGTCTCTGGCAAGATTGATAAAGCACTTCTTTGTTCACATGCCGCAACTTTCACACGATCGGAATTAGAGACTTTCATGGGCACACAGTCAGACAAGCGGGAAGCATCTACATGGGCCGAGGAAATGATTGGCGGATTGATTCATGATCTGCTCCAAAACGACACCACTCCGAGCCCAAACGACAACTTTTTCCGCGTCGGGGGCGATTCAATTGTCGCAATGAAGCTGGTTCAGCGCGTGCGTCGTGCCAAAATGACCTTAAATATCTCTGACATTTTCCAATCACCAAAACTGTGTGATCTTGCACTTCTCATTCAACAGCGGCATGAGAATGCTCGTCCTGCTTCTTCGTTGTTATCGTCCGCTTCATCTACCACTTCATCGCCTTTATTGACTTTGTCTTTGGAATCGTCATGCATAGGCCTTCCACAGTTTATGCCATTCTCAATGGTAAGCACACAGGTTCGGGACGAGGTCTTCGAGGAGGTTTCCTCCCAATGTGGGATCAGCCCGAAGGAGGTTGAGGACATATACCCTTGCACGCCTCTACAAGAAGGGCTGATGTCTTTGAGCATTGGTAACCCCGGCACCTACATTCGACAAGATCGATACCTGCTACCGACGACCATTGACGCTGCCCGTGTAAAGGATGCGTGGATGCAGGTCATTGATGCCAATCCCATTCTGCGAACGCGTATCTATCATCCCAGGAAAGGGGAAAAGGCCTTGCAGATTGTGCTGAACACAACTTTGGAATGGGAAAACTGCGAGGTGGATAGCTTACAAGATATTTCGACCAGCAACGCTGATAGAAAAAGGGCAATGGGTTTCCTCGACCCACTACTACGGCTTACCATGATCAGCGAGCGAAAGACCGACCCATTCCTGCTGGAAGTAACTCTGCACCATGCCCTTTATGACTCTTTGTCCATTGAGCAGAATTTGGTCAAGTCGAAGCATCTTACCGTGGCATACAAGCGCAGCCCCGTCCTTTTGCCCCGTTTATCGAACACATCGAGCGATCGCTGGTTTCAGGGAAATCATTTTGGTCAACACAGCTTGATGGAGCTAATGAAAAGACGGCATTATTCCCTGGTCTTCCCGACGAGAATTATACACCGCGACCTACCGAGAAGATGGAAAGTTCGATACCTGTCCTGCCAGGTCATCAGCAACTTGGTTATACGTTGAATATCCAGTTACGCGCAGCATGGGCGATGACAATATTCCAATACACATCTTCCAATGACGTGGTCTTCGGGGTCACCGTCACTGGTCGCAACGGTGATATCCCAGGACTCGACCAGGTTACAGGGCCAACCTTTGCGACGATACCAGTTCGGGCTATTCGCAACGATTCGAGAACTGTTGACGAAACACTATCCTCATTCCAAAGTCAGATGGTCGAAGCTATTCCTTTCGAACATTGTGGATTGCAGAACATCTCCTCTATCAACAAAGATGCAGCAATGGCATGTGGCTTCCAGACATTGCTCATCATCCAATCGGCAGTTGGCAAGCAAAAAGACAACCGTGGAGAGAAAGTGATATTTTCATCACCAGTGGCCAAAAGCCCACAAGAAAACTCTCAAGCTGACACTTACGCCTTGACGATTGAATGTGCGCCACAGGGTGATAGCATTTCTGTGAGAGCTATCTTCGACTCAACTCTGCTTCCGATTAATACAGTTAAGCGACTACTGCTATTGTTCTCACATGCATTCCATGAGATGACCCACAACCCCTCCCGCCCAATGGGAGGAATCAGCATGATCAGCAAAGAGGATCAAAGCCAGCTGTCCATTTGGAACTTGACTTTGTCGGAGAAGCCTGTTCTGGAAAACCTTGAACGAAGATATTCCTCTGTGCATGACCTCATCCAGCGCCAATGCCACGCCCATCCCAGTGATCTCGCTGTTTGTGCGTGGGACGGCAATTTGACATACGACCAGCTCGATCTACAGTCATCTATCTTCGCAGGTCATCTTGCTCAAAACATGAAAATTGGACCGGAGGTTATTGTACCATTGTGTTTTGAGAAGTCCCTGTGGACAACCGTGGCCATGTTGGGCGTTATGAAAGCCGGGGCTGCCTTTGTTCTCCTGGATCCCTCCTCGCAGCCTGCTCACAGAATGCAAGGCATATGCAAACAAGTCAAGGCCTCGTTTGTCATTTGCTCCAGAAGCAATGTTTCAAATTTCGAACAGACTTCAAATATTACTCCCATTGTTTTGGATGGGCACACTCTGGACACTATGCAGAGTGCACAAAATTCCACCCCGGAACATATCCTGCTTTCTCCCTCGCACGAGAATTCCCTGTACGTGGTGTTCACCTCTGGATCAACCGGTCAACCCAAAGGGATAATTATCGAACACGGCGGGTATGCAACATCTGCATTAGCTCGCCAGAGCACCCTGGGTCTCCACAGGGGATCACGGGTATTGCAGTTTGCCTCTTACGCTTTCGACGTGAGCATTGAAAACACTCTCGATACGTTGATCACCGGCGGCTGTGTCTGTGTCCCGTCTGAATCTCAGCGCAAAACAGACTTCGCCCGGATCACCGACGAGTTCCAGGTCACTTATGCAGATTTGACGCCTTCAGTGGCTCGACTACTCAGCCCCAGTGACATTCCAACCGTTGAAACCATGGTACTGGGTGGAGAGGCAATGGCCAGCGAAGATGTTAACAGATGGGCAACTCAAGTCCGCCTTGTCAACGCTTATGGTCCAGCGGAGTGTGCCGTGACTGCTACTGTGCAACACGTCCAAGCGACAAGTGCCTGCAGCAATGCAGATGCAACCAACATCGGACGGGCATTCCCGACGGCTGGAACTTGGGTTGTCGACCAATCTGACCACAACAAACTCGTCCCCATTGGAGTCACGGGGGAGTTAGTGATTGAGGGGCCTCTCGTCGGCCGCGGGTATTTGAACGGTGGAAATGAAACATCCCGATCAACTTCCTTCCTGCAAGATCCACCAGCGTGGAGAAGTCAATTTTCCTCTTCCATAGGAAAAATAAGCACACGGATGTATTGCACAGGTGATTTGGTCCAATACAACGCTGATGGATCTTTGAAATATCTTGGCCGGAAAGATCAACAAGTGAAGATCTATGGACAGCGTATCGAGCTGGGAGAAATTGAATCTCAGCTTCGTGTCGCGTTCCCCTCAGCCATCGACGTACTTGTGGACGTTGCAGTCACTAGCAAAAACCCACGACCCTCTCTCATATCCTTCATCAGCTATCCAGGTACGAAAGAAGAAGCTGAAAGCTGCGGAGACACCACGATACTACCGTCAACGCCGCTCTTCCGAAATTCGGTCGCAGAAGCAGAGGTCAGACTCCATGAGCTCCTTCCGCGATATATGATGCCAACGGTCTTCATTCCCGTGCGAAGCATTCCCCAAACTGCAGCGGGCAAGGCCGATCGTCGGACACTATGTCAAGCGGCCTCTGGTCTATCTCTGGAAGAAATTGAGAGTTACATGACGTCCCGGGACGAAGTGCGAGCTCCATCTACCGCAATGGAAAAGGCATTGCAGGTCTTGTGGGCCAAAGTTTTGGGGGTTTCACCGGAAACGATCAATGCCAGCGACGGGTTCTTCCGTGTTGGTGGAAACTCGATCTTAGCCATGAAGCTTGCGGGGCTCGCCAAATCGGAGGGAATCAAGTTGTCAGTTCCTGATCTCTTTGAGAACAAATCTCTGGAAACATTAGCATTTGAACTCGATACTTCCGTACATGCCGAGGCTAACGCAACCGTACCATTTTTCGACTGGGACCTGGAGGCTGCGATTCCTGAGAGTCTGGATGACGAGTTGCAGCTTTGTCTTACGGATGGACTCCACCGACAGAATGAGCCCACGGTCGACAAAAGAGGAATCGAAATTATCCTTACTGGCTCAACTGGCCATCTAGGTGGTGAAATCCTTCGTCAACTCGTCGGTCGCGCCGATATTCGTTGCATTCATTGCGTCGCTGTCCGGAGACCAGATCAACTCGCCATTCCGAATTGGTCGGCCCAAGACAACTTCGATTGGAAGACTTTGTTTGATCAAAAAGTGAAGGTCTATCAAGGCGATCTTTCATTGCCGCGTGTCGGCCTTTCCGAGGATGAGGAAACTATCTTATCAAATTGCCGAGCCATAATTCATTGCGGTGCCCTTGTATCGTTCGTCAGAAGCTACGATCTCATGCGAGATATCAACGTTGGCTCAACGAGATACCTCGCAGGGTTGGCAGTCAAAGCGTCGATGGCGTTCCATTTCATCTCAACTGTCGGAGTCAACTGTGCTCCCGGACAAGAGCACGCAATTATTGAGGAGACTTCGGTGGCAGAAGCTCACCCACCTTCCGATGGTGCAGGTGGGTATATTGCCAGCAAATGGGTCAGTGAAGTTTTCCTCGAGCGAGTCAGTGCCCGATATGGTTTACCCGTCTCCATCCACCGGCCATCCAATGTCGTTGGACCCAATGCCTCCAAGGATGATATTATCAACAGTTTGTTGGATACGTGTCGCCGGATAGGAATGGTACCTAGACTCCCGGGCTGGACAGGCTATTTCGACTTGATTAGTGCTGAGGCAGCTGCGTCAAACATCGTCAGCTCTATTGAGGAGAGTATCCAGGTCAACCACGGCATCGACAGTATTGGCAGTGTACAGTACCGACATGAGTCCGGTGGCGCAGTCATACCTGTTGATGCTTTGAATTCGGTCATCGAGAAGACTGAGGGCAGACCCATTCGTCTTGTGGATTTGGATGAATGGATGCAAGATGCTCGGTCTAATGCGGGCACGTCCGATCTTGTGTTGGAGTTCCTGGAAATGAGGAAGGGGAAAGGAGTCTGCATGCCGCTGATCCGCAACAATCGAACGGCTTGGTTCTCTGGTGGAGCGACCCCAGGGGGTATTTTGGGAAAGGGGAAATTGTCGGGGATGAAAGGAAGGCAGATGCGTGAAGTGATTTCCTCTGTATAGATATTTATATAAGTATCTTTGACTCTTGTCGGGTCTCTGATTATACATAGAAACGTCAATTTGCACATTTTGAGGCGTTTTCACCTGGATTCTAGCCATAACACCAATGAAGGGGCAAGTATCTAGAAACAGGCTATCTAAAATGACCTTGAAAATGAGGTCAAGAAGCTGCATAAGCCCACTATTCTTGACAGTATTTGAAAACTTGATCATAAGATTAGTCCTAGGATGGTAGTGATATCAAAACTATAATGGTTTCGTGTTTGCTAGTAGACGATCGGGCTGTCAAATTTGAGAAAGTGAAATGATTTAAAGAGGAGATGAGGGACATGTATGTATGCATACATGTACATACATAACTAACTTGAATGTATATCTCCTTCCCAAAAGGGTAATAGTGACACGCACCTGCCTATATTCCTCCAGGTCTTCTCCTCATCTTCTCTCTCTTTTTCTTCCATTTCACTTTTCTCTCCAACTCGGTCTTTTGCCTCTTAATCTCCTCACTCTCTTTCATTCTTCTCTTAACCCTCCCTCTATTTCCTCTTTTCGATCCGCCCTTTTGTCTCACCCCTGAGGATTGGGAAGTTACGCCGGAGCCTCCGTGCAAAACGGAAGAGTGATCATGTCGAGAAACAGACCCGGTTTACGGCATTGTTACCGTGCGGAAAAGCATGCGCGTCTACAAATATTCTATACACATAGAGCTGGTATCGATCGGGCTCCCCGTGGTGCGAAGAGATATTCTTACTTGGGATCATCAACATGGTCAAAGTCAAGCCAATATCAGATCCCGCTTAACCATGGAGATGCTATCGTAAATCGATCCACCAATACAGTATCGCCTACATTCCTCTAACGTCTATTCGTCGACCACAAAATGCAAATACGGCAGCTGGATCGCAGACTCGTATCCCGGCCACCTATTCCTGACCTGGTCGCAAGTCACAAGAGAGAACAAACATGTCTCATGAGAGATGGGGTGGAAGAGTTTCGCCTCTTCCGCTTGTAGGAGACGGTCTTGAGCGAACTGATACACCTCGCCGAGCGGAAAAGTGGCAATACAACTATAAGCATCATGACCCATCTGGGTGCCACTTGTATCAGCCACCAAGCCCGTGAAATTTCGGTTCTGGTGGGCCCAAAATGGGACTACGCAGTATGTCGCTTGGTCCCTGTGGAGGGCAATTCTCACGAAATGTTTGGCATCTGGAGTGGTCAATGACACCCATAGCTGAAAATATTCCGACGTCTTTATGTCCGTTGTTTTGGGTGCATTTTGTATGTTCGTTTTTTTGCATCCACTGAATCGAACATTTTCGATATCATTAGCCACAAACTGCAGAATTTCTGTAAGCAGCGCAATGCACACAAAATCAACGTTCGATGTTTAATCAGTGATACAGAATGGTCGGCAAGGCTTAACCGGACACATGGGGTTGCCTGTGGCTCACATAGATATCTCTTCACAACAACCGTCTTGAGCGGCTTTTATGTAAATATAATAGGGAGGTCCATTAAACCATAAGGTAATACACCTTCTGAACACCCGATCTAGGATCATAACATTCTCCACAGGAATCTGGCATGTCCAGAATCCAGCCCTAGGGGTTATGACGACCGCCGCATATTGTTTATATCATGAATTCTTCGTGTCCAATGGTAATCAATCTACCTCTTGATCCCGATGACTCGCTGGATAGCTTCATCATTGCTCATAGCCGAGTCAATAACACCAGCCACCTTGAGTACATCAACAACACCTCCAATAATCTTATCATCAACGCCGCGGGTGGCATTGGTGAACTTAACATCCTTAAGCCACTCCTTCGCATCCTCCTCAATATAATTGCAACCAAGTTCACCAGTACCCAAAAGCTTCACGACCTGCGTCGTATCAGCCTCGAACTGCTTGATTCCCTGATCCAGCGCCTGGAAGAGACTCTCCAATCTCTGGTCTTGCTCGGGGTTAGGGAACAGTGCCGTAGAAGCGACAATCATCCACGAAGGCCACGGTGTGAAAATCTCGCCAATCTTCTTGAGCGGCGGGTTCGGCTTCTCAGATGTAGGATGAAAGTACGGCTTCGTGGTAAATTCCTCCCACATAAAGAACTCAGCCGATGGGTTCGCAGCCTGGTCGGGCTTTGAGGCATCGAGGCCGGAAACACCATCTCGCAGAGGTCCGAAGGGTCCCAGAGGAACGGTGGTCAGGGAGTCCGCTTTCCAACCTTGCTGCTGAGCAAGGACGAAGGACATAATATGAGAGCCGCTGTGGGTAGATGTGTTAGTCTCTGCAATGCTATACTCGCTATGCCTCAATGTTGATGGCTTACCTTCCAAGCCGGCTAACTCCAACCCTCTTATCCTTCAGATCCGACACTCCATTAATCTCATCTCGATTGCGCCCAGTGACTATGGCCCAGCGCAGAGGGTTGTCCACCCAGTGGCCGACGACCTTGTATCCTCCATCTGCATCTGCGGAGGTCTGACTTGCTTGCTGCTTCCCGGCCAAGCCTGCGACCCACCCTTCTGTCAAACCGATGGCAATGTCGATTTCATTTCCGCGGAGAGATGTAATCATATGACCTGTCCCGGATGGGAAGGGAGTTGCGGCGATTTTGAATGGGAGAGAGGCAACAGCCGGGGAGCGGAGGGCGAGATGGAGTGGGGTTAGGTAGTGCTCTAGTAGACAACAAACGCTTATCGTTAGCTATATTCTGTCCAACATAAAACAGGAATGGCCGGCAGGCTTCGTTGGGACAGATCGAGTAGCTTGGACACGGTAGTACTGTTTTGCAGCTGATGCTGAAGCCCTAGAGGGGGGATGACGTACCGGGCACATAGCCAATGCGGATTGTGGGAAGGTCAGACATTGTGTAAGTCCCGGCTGTGTGAATGCTTCGGATAATAAACAGAGACAGTAGAGCTGGGTTGCGTTGGGAAGATTTTGAGGCAGATGTTGCAGCAGCGCGGCATTCGGAGTGACGCGGGGCAAGCCCCTCACCAGACGCGCGCAATCGCAATCGGAGATATACCGCGCAATAATTTTTTCTTGATGAAACATCATAGTATTGACATTATCTCATTCAAATTACAGATCTATAATGCTGTTTGCCGATGCTAGTTATCTACATAAATATTGAGTCTAATCCAAGTTCATCATCCCAGGTGATCAGTCCATGCGGATATCCTTCTCGTGATGACCCCAGCGGCCGCTGTGCTCCATAGACTCGCCTGCGGTCTGGGAGGTGGCACGGGAGTGTGAAGTGGAGAGAGGGTTGGAGAACGAGGCGGAAAGCGAGTTGGAGTGGGAGTGAGACGGAATCTGAGAGGGGGCGTTTCGAGTGAAGTAATAAAACTGGAAGCCCAGGTAGAAGTCGCACACGCACTGGAAGATACCACAGAGCTTGAACGCCCATGGGATGGTCTCTGTGCTGTTGAAGAAGTAGCTCATCTTCATGGTATCACCAAGAATCCATGCCGCAACAACGGAGAGTCGGAAGCCCTTGCAGGAGCCGGATCGGTGGTTGGCGACTATTTGAGGGAGAGGGAGGGTAGCTTCGACGGCGAGTCCGAGGTAGCCAATGAGGCTAATATAGAATGACGATTCAGCGACCGGGGTCAGGTGGATGACAGACAATATTCCGACGAAGTAAGCCAAAGACATCCAGTATCTTTGAGGATCAGTAATGCTTAAATCGATGTGGTTAAGAGGGGCCGAAACTTACGGTTTAGTGGCCCTCCACTGCCAAAACTCGTAGGGCCTTGAGGATGAACCATCTGAGTTACCACCGCTGAAGGGTGTGTGCTCAATTCCATTCCGCACCCCGGCGGAGGGCCGATTATCGAGTGCAACCTTGAGCATCGTGACCTGCACCACGATCATAACAATTGCTTGTGTCAACAAAGTGCTTGAGTAATGCTCGCCAAACCAATAGAAAATCCTAAGAGTGTCAACACTTTGCAATCTCGAATTTGGCCGCGCCGTTGATCGGAATCTTACTTCAGGATCGACGAAACCAGCATAATCAAAGGAATGTCCAAAGAGAAGCCCGCAGAGCTTCTTGTGCGATGAATGCTGAGGATCTGGTCGGCATAGGACGTGATAGGCGAGCTTATAAGGCTGTATACAAGCTTAGGTTAGCACTGGGAACTTGCGGATCCATTGGGAGCTCATTCACGCTCACGTACAAGAAAGGTGCGGCATAGTCAAAGGCGATCTGGAAAAGAGACATGGCGGGTGACGGGGGTGTGCGCGGTCGCTATAGTTGAATAAAATCAACAGTCTGGTCGACGCGATTGCGTGAGAAGTGTCTTGTAAAAATTTGCGACAAAAGAAAAGCTGTCGACACTCAACGAAAGTCAAAGAGGGAAAAAAAGGGTACAAGCTTCGGGACACACGACTCGATGCGGCTTGGCTTTTTTGCCTGACCCCCGGGTGCCCTGGATTATGTCAGCGTGCCGATCTCCACCTGCGGCAGGGCCCTGGGGCTGGTGGAGTCGTGGCGTTGTTGAAGCCAATGAGATTAATGTGCTGATATTAAATTCGTCATTTGTCTATCTTGGACGTTTACAGTATGACCATGGGAATATAGATCGATGAGATACTTATGTTGTAGGTATATTCCAAGGTTGAAGGGTATTTCCAGATTTGGATACGCAATTCGACATAGGTACCTGACATCACGATGAATCATCGATAAAAAAAAAGTACAAAACGATAACTGGACAATTCTCTTAGCCCACTTTCTGAAACAATCCACGTTTGTGCTTTTCCTAGCAGATTCCACTGAGCGTTGATCTCTCCCGAACGCCCAAAATGACCTTGTTTGGCAAGGAACCCGCGAAGGAAATGGAGCTCGAGGACCGTGAACGTCAGCTACGAAGTCGTGAATTGGACCTTGACTTCGAAAAGCAGGAGCTTGGAATTAAAGACGACAAATCCAAGCTCGAAAAGAATGAATTTGAACTCAAGGAGAAGATAAAAAAGCTCAACGAGTTGGAAACCGAATTCCAGCACCATGGACCCGATATAATCAGGCTGGCGATATCCAAGAAGTTCAGACGTGGTATGATAGGCACAAAGGAACACGAGCTCATCAACAGCAGAGCGGGTTTTTCCTGACATGATGACCTAAGAGTATGAGCAAGGTTGTCCATACTACTCAGAGTGTCCGGATGCTCTGGTCCTAAGACCTGCTTGCGGGTATCCATGACTTGCACTTCTAGCTCTTCGGCTTCCTTCCATCGGCCCTGTTCCCAGTGGGTAAAGGCTAGATTATTCATGCTAGTCAGAGTCTTGGGATGCGCTGATCCTAAGACCTGCTTGTGGGTATCCATGACTTGCACTCCTAGCTCTTCGGCTTCCCCCCATCGGCCCTGATCCCGGTAGATTGAGGCTAGATTATTCATACTAGTCAGAGTGTCTGGATGCGCTGATCCTAAGACCTGCTTGTGGGTATCCATGACTTGCACTCCTAGCTCTTCGGCTTCCCCCCATCGGCCCTGATCCTGGTAGATTGAGGCTAGATTATTCATGCTAGTCAGAGTCTTAGGATGCTCTGGTCCTAAGACCTGCTTGTGGGTCTTTATCACTTGTAACTGTAGTTCTTCGGCTTGCTTCCATTGGCCTCCAAGGATATATGCTACCCCAAGCATTTCAAAGCTATCTAGCGTCTTTTTATTATCTGGACCGAACAATTTTGCCTGCCCAATTGCTGCTTTGTGGGCCATTCTTCGGCTGTCGACAAAATTTCCTCGGGTGAGGGCAAACGATGCTGCCTGCTGAAGCAGTGAGATCCATTCTCCTAACAAGTCTTTTGTATCTGGCTGGTGTGCAACTGCATTTTGCACGTGAGCAAATAGTAATTGGCACCTTGGCCAGTTCTCAAATGTGCCTAATGGGAATTTGCTGTAAAGGATTCGGATGAACTGTCCCTGCCATTTTTCAAGCTGTCCATGCGCCCTGAGCCATTCCTGCATAGCAAGTTGGACAAGGCGGTGCATCTCAAACTTTGTTTCGTCCGGACTGATGGATATCAGCAAGTATTCCTTTAACACCAATATATCGTCCTCAAATTTGTCAACAACGCTGTCACTTGCGCTGCTTTCCCCATCACTGGCATCCATTCTCAGATCCTCGTTGGAGACAGAAAAAATCGCATATTTTGTGTTTCGTCTCCTTCTCATCTCGAAGAAGACTGTCGGAAATTCCTTGCCTATCAAAAAAGCTCATGAGAGACAACAAATCCGCCGCAGATGGGCTTCCTTGTAGGATATAATCGAATGATATTTGCCAGGTGATAAGGATAGAGTTTTTGGCTTCCCGGTCTCTACGAAGCTGCCCCCCTTCGTATTGAAGAAGACTTGTCTTCTGGTGGTCGCTTCTTCGAAAAGTTTCCAAATATTGTGTGACTGATAGGCGCGGTAATCGTTGCTTGATATAGGCCGCGGCTTGCACAATCGCAAGCGGCATGAACTCGAGAGCCGCAGTCAGTTGAATGACGTCTTCACTGGCAGCTTGCGCTCCAAGCTTCTTTTCAAAGAGTGTTATTGCATGCGTTTCGTCCATCGGTTCAACTGGGATGATATCACTATCTTCCACCATGCGTGATACCACGCGTCTGCTCCGACTTGTTATGATGATTAAGCCATTTAGATTCTCTTGGAGGTATGCCCAGATAGATCGTCCTGGCGTCCCACTCTGGTCATTCCCTAGGCCGTCCGGTACGACCGGTGAAGGGGTATGTAGTGATTTCTCATCATCCAGATTGTCAAGGATGAGGACCCATTTCCCTTTCCTCTCGTCATTAAGCCAATCATGAAGGAGTTTGAATACGTTCGCCTCGGGATCCTGCCGACCGGGTATCCTAAGTCGATCGGCAAGGTCTCTACAGCTTTGCTCGATGCGAGTTGCATTGCTGGCGTGAATCCAGAGAACCCATGTCTCTGGCGATTGATCTCGAACTCGATAACAGTATTCGATAGCAAGTTGCGATTTTCTTCTTAGTAATTAGCATTGGTTACCGCGCTGGCCTTTCTGAGCTCACCCAACACCACCTAGGCCGACAAGTGCGATCCGAGATCCCGGTACAGAGCCTTTTTCATGTATCTGATCGAATAGCGTTCCACGGTCGACAAACTCTGGGTCGCGACGGAACGGCACGGTCGATAGAGGAGTTGGTGGAGTTTCTGGACGCACTAAGCGGGGAAGCGGGCATCAGGAAATTGACCTGGTCTATTGAGACTTTGTGAAACTTACCTGGGGGAAGATGGAACTGCGCATTCACCGTGCCATTCAAAATACTTGTCTGGATCCCTGAGTTTACCCCACCAAACGATGTAGAAGTGGCCATTGTCATGCAAATGTTGTACAATGTCCATGTTTTGGGCAGAAGTCCTCAACCCAGGGGTCATCTTCAGCCACTATCAGGTGACCTCACACTCCTGTCCTTATCAGGTATTCTTTTCTATATTTAGGAGCATGCCCGAAGGCATGGTCCTTTCATAATGATGTACTATTTAATCACGTCTCTGATATAGTTTCCGACAGTCGGTTTTTACGCGCACCCCATCCATTATATATCTCTGCATTTAGCTGTATATATTACACCGTCAGTGCATTGAATACATGTTAAATTTGGCATAAATAGATAGAAAATTAGCCAATGAATTCAATGAATTCATATTTGGTATAATACCCTTTTGCCCAACCCGTAGCAAGCAATCTCCTAGGCATAGAGGGGAGCAAGTTATCTTTGATTGAGTACATCCTATACAGCGCATAGCTCTCTTAAAATACACCTAGTCCGCCTCAATCATACCCATTTTTACTAATTCTAGGTATAGCTTTAATAATAATCTTCAATACACCAACAGGGCGCAGTAGGGCTCAGACCGGGTGAACACAGACGTCAATCCTCCACCCCATGTTCTTTAAATACTCTCCTATAATACCACCGATATGTACGGGCGGTATCTTATACGCATTATTAAGACACCCTCTTTAAGAAAAAAAAGAAATCGACATTAGGGTGATTAGGGGGATAACCAACCAAAATGCAGAGTTGTCGCGGGACTCGGAACTGTCGAAAAAAAGAAAGGTCCTGCCCGGGTTCGAACCAGAGTTTGTGGTATTTTCTGGTCATTTTTGAGACTCTATAGTTCTACATATAAATCCTAGTCTTTAAACCTCATTACCGATTTCTACCTTTTACCCTAGATATTATTTTTTTCTACTTTCTTTTTATTCCAAATGGACAAAAAAAGAGAAAGGTCCTACCCGGGTTCGAACCGGGGTTGGTGGTATTTTTTTTGGGAAATCAGTTCACCTCAAAAACCACAGTCATGACCGCTAGACCATAAGACCGAATCCTTATGTAAGCCTTTCACCGAAACAAGACTAGAGGACTTCAAAATGCATATCCATGTAATTTCTCAACTCGTTATTTATCGACCAGTGTATGTCCCTTCCTGATTAGAAAAATTTCCTCATTAAGGGCAACCAACTGTTGTTGCTTATCGAGATGCAGGGCTAAGCTTGTTTACTTTCTAACTAATAGGTACGAAATGAATTTTTATCACCCCCCCAAAGACCCCCATTAGCAGACAATGGACATGAGTTAGTATACAATTGTGATGAGGTAGATAGATATTCGGGTTCGGGTTCGGATCAAATCATGTAACTTAAGCTTGGAATTGCGTGGAACTTGGAGCTAGTTAGTTATGAGATAGTACTTTGTATGGCGGGGATGGTAACCGAGTGACGCGATTCGGCGCCATGTTCGCGCCAGTGCGGACGTTCCGATAACCCGCACATTTATTCGTTCTTTCCTGAGCTCGAGTTTACCAAGGTCTCAAGCCTATAGCGCCACTTCGGAGACATACATGGCGATCAAGAACGGCTTCCTGCCTTTGGAGGCACCTCGTGATTTTGCACAATCCTCCATGTCTCGTTGTCTTCGTCATGGAAGACTAGTACTGGGAACCCTCGTGCTGGCAGCAGGCCTGGTAATGCTGATTCAAACTAAATATCTCGCTGATATCACTACATCCAATAGTACTGGCCGAGAGGCATTTTATGAAGGGCTGAACAAATGTTATGAAGCTAGGTATCAGTATAAGGAACCTCAATCAACAGAGGAACGGGAAAACCCACGGTGGAACTCAATCTCCGGCCAGCAGAGGCCGATCCTGATCCAGAATGCAACGCTTTTCGACGGCGAGACGGTACTTGCAGAGACAGTTGATATCACACTCGAGGCAGGCGTGATTCGCTCTGTTTCAGCTGCAACCTTGAACCACCAAGCTCCCAAGGATGCTCAAGTCATCAACGCCCATGGAAGATTTGTCACCCCCGGATTGGTGGATATGCATTCGCATCATTTGTTACTCCCATTCCCCAAGCTTCCATCTACCAGCGACGTCAATGAGCGCCCAGTCCTAGGACCCATTACTCCGTTTGTTCGCTCATTGGATGGATTCAAGCCATATGATCCAGCGATCCAGATCATCGCATCCGGTGGTGTCACTTCTTCCTTGGTTCTACCAGGATCGGCAAACATTATCGGCGGCGAGGCATATCTGGTAAAGAACTTGGCGACGCCAGGTCCAAATGCCGAGCCTGTAGTCGATGAACTACTGCTTGATTATGGTATCCCAGAGAAGAGCCGAAAGAGATATTTGAAAATGGCTTGTGGAGAGAACCCCAAGGGCATCTATAAGAATACCCGGCTTGGTCTCGTGTGGCTTTTACGCAAACATCTCGAGGAAGCGCGACAGTTGCAAGAGCGCCAATCTGCCTGGTGCCGGACGGCGACTAGTATTGACAAGGCCAGCTTTTCCCAGTCTAGACAGATTTCACAGTTCCTCAAAGAGGAAGGCAGCCGACCGGAGTCTTTTGAACTTGAAACTTCTCTTGCACTTCTCAGAGGGGATCTCAATGTCAATGTGCACTGCTATGAGCCAGAAGATCTTGAGCGCATGTTGTCAGTGCTTCATGAATTTGGCATCCATCCTAGGGCTTTCCATCATGCACTGGAAGCGTGGGAAGTACCTGAATTGTTGAAATCCCTAGAGGAGTATGTTTTATTCTTCTTATCAGTTTCATTTGCTGACAGATCTCAGAAACATCACTATTGCCACTTTTGCAGAAAACGCGCTTTACAAAGCCGAGGCATACGGGGCCAATTTACGGGGGCCTAAAATCTTGGCTGATCATGGTGTCCAAGTTGCACTGAAATCGGTATGAAATTGCTCATATTGTCGAGCGATATTTAATTCTGCTAACATGAAAAGGACCACACTGGCGAGGGAAACTATGCAAAATACCTTGTGTGAGTGGACTGAAAGGACTACATTCAACCTTTGACCTAGAAATTATCTAACCTGATGTCTTACAGTTACCAGGCGGCAGTTTCCCACTCGTTTGGTTTGTCTGAAGAAAAGTCTCTTCAAGCGGTGACATCTGTCCCTGCTAGATCTATTCAACAGGATCATAGAATTGGATATGCCCGTCCAGGATATGATGCAGACCTCGTTATCTGGGATGATCACCCGCTCCAAGTTGGTGCAACCCCAACTCAGGTATTCATTGATGGTCGGCCTGTTCTGAAGAATGATAATTCTCACGAATGGAATAATGGAACATCTGGCTTCAGCAAGCCACTGGCCCCCCAAATCCGACCATCTCTTGAGACAGTTCAGAAAGAAGATATCTGTACCAAGATTAAACACGTCGGTTCACGGATTCTCTTTACTGGCATTCAAAAAGTATTGGTTGATACACACAGTCCATCTACTAGTGCCACTAACGACCTCGTTATGCTGGTCGAAGATGGTCAAGTCAAGTGCCTTGATACGAAATCCTCGTGTCTCTCCGGCGAGATTCACGAAAATACCGCACATATCGCTTTGAATAACGGCCACGTTCTGCCTGGCCTGGTAGCCTTTGGCAACAAACTCGGAATCCAGTCTATCCCGTCTGAATCCTCAACTGGGGATGGCTTAGCTTCGAAAAATGGGGATGCACTGAAGGAAGAAAAGACACTCCACTTCGCTAAGTACGGCGTGCACCTTGACGGCAGGGGACTCGCAAGGGCTAGGATTGGAGGCGTCACACGAGCTATAACTGCCCCTCTTCATGGTGCCGGTGTGGTTCAAGGTGTCAGCGTTGGACTGCGGACGAGCAAGGATGCCACGATTCTTGATAATGGTATCTGGAAGGATGATGTGGCACTCCACCTCGTGATAGGTCAAGCTGCTAGAAGTAGGAAATTTGCTTCCCATATTCAGGATCAAGCTAATATGGGTTCCTTTAGGTGATGAGACCCCGACTGTCTCTTCTGGGATCGAGAGACTGCGTCAGTTGCTTCAAGCGGGCCAAGATGCCGCCCCCGGGAGCACCAACATCTATGCTCGGGCTGCAAACGGCTCACTCCCTGTTATTGTACAGGCATTCAATGAGGTAAGCTCCACTTATACCTCTGCACCCTTGACAACCCTCTTCAAAAGAACTAACTCAATAACATCAGGATGACATTGCGCAATTGATCCTGGTCAAGCGTGAGTTCCAATCAGTCAACCTGATCGTATACGGCGCCCACGGTGCTCCATTGGTAACATAACCTCGTCTCATCTAAATTCGGTTGCCATATTCATACTAACTCGAATGTTCTGTAGGTTGCCAAGCCTCTCGCCGAAGCAGGAATTCCTGTCATTCTCACTGGTAATCGTGGAGCCCCTGATACTTGGGAGAAGAAGAACTCCCTCGCAGGTCCCCCATTGACAGAGAGCCCTGCGAAAATTCTATCCGATGCCGGTGTCCTGCTTGCCCTGGCTGTGAAAAGTGATTCAACGATCCATGGTCTGGCACAGGAAGCTTGGTGGGCAGGGAAGTATGCCGGTCTAACCGATCAGCAGACCATTGCCCTTGTTTCAACCAATTTTGATCTTATCCTTGAAGGTCAATCGAAAAAGGTCCAAGAGGGAGCATTGGTTGGGGACTTTGTCGTCTGGGAGGGTGATCCCCTGAGAGGAGAGGGTTCCGTTGTTGCTTCTTTCCAGGACGACGGAAAGATTGCCGATTGCTGGCCTGATACCGTTGGTGCTATTTTGTAACCACAAGGTCATTGGCATTGGATATAGTATTTGTTGTCTAGAGGCATATATGGACGACTGTTTATTGTTTGTTTGTGTCAATTTCACTTTCAGTGTTTTGAACTGGATATATATCCACCACATCCACCTCGCGATAGACGAAATTCACACATTATTTACATTTTAACAGCAGAAGCAACCCAACCCAAGCAATTTAGATAGCTATAGGATAGTACTTTGTGCATATGTAAGTAGTATCTCGATTATGGCTACTCAGATGGAAACTTCCCCTCACTGTTAGGAAGGGGCTGCTCCACCTGTGCTTTGAAATGTTAGAGCGGCCATTACACCGGCTTCTCACCTAAAACGGCAAAGCTCCCTTCCTTACCAACCTTAGCGTAACAATGACATCCTATCTAATAGTTTCCACAGCCTCTCTAGCACGTGAGCGCATCTGCTTCTCATAAGCCCTGATGGCCATCAGCAGCTGACTTGATAGTATCTGCGAGTTGACAGGCGTCTACAATGGCATGATTAACTCCCTCGCCGCGATCTGTTCCAGTTAGCCTGCGTCCGCTTCCCTACAGGCGAATAGACAATATGCTTACAGATCACTATAAAAAGGGCCGAATTGCCGATCAAAGTGCAGGTACCGTCTCAGTTGTCTCATACAACGGATTGCCAGTCAACTAGATTGACCTTAGTAATGACGGTGTTCCCAGGTAGCGCCTGTACTATATCCCGCATACTAGGGAAGAATGGTCTGCTTTTCTGCTTGAACACATCAAGCAATGGCTGTTTTAGCAGCTCCTCATTCACACGTTGAGAATGGAAACCTGAAACCTGTTGAACAACTAGCTGGGCAATATTTTAATTTATATACTGGCTGGTAGACCGGCCCATTTCCAGTGTAGATCCTTTCTCCTGCTTTTCTAATTGGGATATTTCAGATGCCGAATCTCTCGATATCAAAAAAGGGATATTCAATGTAAAGCACCTCAGGGGGCTACGGTTNGGGGGGGGGGGGGGGGGGGGCTAGAACTAGTATGTCTGAGGAAACGGGAGAGAAAAAACAGTGAAAAAAAATTTGCAAGCGGGAACCCCCCGTTTTAGCAGATAAAGGACTAAAAATGGCCTATACGAGTAAAAGACGAGTACGGAGTATAAAATAGCCTATTCTTAACTAGACCACGGAGTAATTTTCCTGCCAAGCCCTCCTCTTCCGCTGACAAAGCGGCAAGTGTAGGAGAGATTCCAAGGTTGTTACAGCTGGCTCTTCATCACTTCGACGATAACTCGGCCTAATTTCCCAGTTCCACCAGAGAGAGACTGTAAGAATAGCCATTTAAGCTGTTGATTGAATAGAACCGGTCTTGAATCAAGTCACAGTTCTCTTTGAGGGTGGTACCTCAACTATGTTTCTGTTGGTTGGAACAGAGCTTCTATAGTTTCTTTCTCCCTAAGCTAAACCACTGCTCCACAAACTTGTATGAACCAATAGCGCGTAACGACACATAATTATTCAGGAGATACAAACGCGTGATAAGCAATTTTACTACTCCGTAACGGATCTTCAATTTGCACCTAACCAGCAGTCGGTACTTCGGCGGCCGCTATCGCCGGACGGTGACTAACTATAGGAATTTTAAGTTCCAAGGTCAAGTACGGAGTAAAATTAATTAAGTGAAGTGAAGTTAATCAGTCGCAGCCTTGTCGGGGCGGCCGCCGGCGGCCGCCCGCGGTCGCTCTGAAGACGAACCTTGGCAGAGAGATAGATTCTTAGCAATCAACAACCATCTACTCCGTACTCGAGAGAATTTCAAAATTTTCACCTCAATTTACGCAATAGGATAATGCATCGGTTAAACTCTCTTATAAATATGGTTCCCAATACTCATTCCATCCTTTTCTAACATTTTACAAAAAAAGCCTCCGTTGCGCTTCGTCACCATCCTTTTATATTTGATCTTCTCGTTCTTGGATAATCCCCTCAAACAACGAATACGACAATTTGTGCGTAATGGGTAGAGCAACCGTCGTGATTGTCGGCGCCTCCCACGCTGGACTTGGAGTTGCAAATGAGCTCCTCAAAACCGACTCCGATAAAGTTAAGGTCGTCCTGATCAATCCATCAGAGAAGCACTACTTCAATATTGCCGCCCCACGAATTCTCGCCAAGCCTCAGTTCTTCCAGCCAGAACAATATCTTCTCCCCATCGAAAAGTCATTTGCCCGTTACCCAAAGGAGTCGTTCAAGTTTGTTAAAGGAGAAGCAACTAGCATTGATATCGCCTCAAAGTCAGTCAAGGTTTCATCGCTGCAATCGGCCCTTGTCTACGACTATCTTGTCATTGCATCCGGCAGCACGACAACTTCCTCAGTACAGGGGGAGCTGGCTCCTTTCAAGCCGCTCGGCAATCAAGATATCGATGCCTCCATTCGCTCGATACAAAAGGTCATCTCCGAGGCAAAAAGTGTCATCATCGGTGGCGCAGGCCCGGTTGGTGTCGAATTTGCTGGCGAGCTTGCAGAGGCTTTCAAACTCAAAAAGGGCTCTTCGATCACTATCATTTCAGCGACGAAACATGTCTTGCCTATGTTAAAGGAAAAGGGCAGCCTTATGGCGGAGAAGGTCCTTGCAGAAAAGAACGTCAAGGTGATCGCCTCACGAAAGGTGGCGAATGCTGTGCGTAACACTTCGGGAACCACAGCTCAGTGGATTGTCAGCTTGGACAACGGCGAGCAGCTTGAAGCAGACGCATATATCTCTACCACGGGAGTGATACCAAACAACCAGTTTGTCCCAGCAGAATTTCTCTCCGCGGATGGCTGGATCGCGGTGGACGACAAACTGTGCGTTAAGGGAGGGGATGGCTCGATCTATGCACTTGGAGACATTACCACACAACCACTGCGCACGGCGATAAAGGTTGCAGAGCAGGTCCCTGTGGTTGTGGCCAATCTCAAGGTTGCAATCCTTGGCAAGGGAAAGCATTCTACCTACTCCTCCAATCCGTCTTTGATGATGATTGTGCCGATTGGAGAAAGTACGGGCACGGGTCAGATGTTCGGATGGAAACCTTGGGGAATCATGGTATCAAAGATCAAGGGAAAGGATTTCTTTGTTTCGAAAGCTGCCGGGATGCTTGGCATGAGCTGAACATTCCCTATTTCCTACTCATGTATGCCTATTCAATAACTACGTAATTTGATCAAATATAATGCTGTCTCCCTCTTAAAATTGCTTTTCATTAAAGAAAGCTTAAGTTGTTCGGATTTCCGAGGGGATGTCTCAAACATAGGCATATCGTCAACACTAGTAGCTAGTTGTGTTTTGGACATGAAGGAATGAACGGCGATTTTGCTCCCCGTTTTTTTCCTGGCTTGGTGAGCCAGCTTCCTTGGTATCGACGTAGACAGTATGAAGGCACCGTGGCGAACCTGCCACATATACATATTCATCGGAACGGTGCACACTAGCCAGGGGGCCGCTTAAGAGTAAGGAATATATATAACGGAACATTTCCAAGCGAACTACCCGATTAGGTAGATATGGAACAATCTTGTTCCGACGCCCCCGGGGCCTGAAGCATCTTTTATGGAAGACCAAAGGTTCGTCAAGCCCCACCAATTGAGAAATCAAGAAGTTACGATTAACAGACCAACGTGATAATGGCCACAACTTCTGGCTTTGGAAATCAGACGGGTGCTGGATCAGCACCACGAACTTGTATTCCGTGCAAGTCTAGCAAGAAGAAATGTGACAAGACTCTACCGATGTGTGATCGCTGTTCCAGGTATTGTGCTTGTCACCGCCCAGGTTGTGGAGCAAGTTTTCACGGGAACTGATCATATTACTAGGCTTGATCTCCCTTGCACATATGATGACGCAGCGGAGACAGTGCAAGATATTACAGCCAAATCTCAAGCCATCCTTGACAGGCTGGAGAGGCTCGAGTCGCGTGTATTTGCATCTGAAGAGCAGCAAACCACCGTGGCACCCGATCATCGCGCCAACTCCAACATTGAGGTCAAGGAAGCGCAAGAAAATATTTGGCAGTTGAAACCTAGCCTACTTCATCCGTCCTACTTGGGAATGATAGCAGCAATGAATTTAGCCACGATCTTAGAGGAGAAAAGCACTACGGCGCGCCAAGTGGGTGAGAATTATTTCGATTCAATACACACCTTCTTGCCAATTGTCTCTAGGGAAAGAATGGATAAGCGAACCCTGGAAGCACAAAGTCTCGAAGCGAACTCGGGCTTCATGACACTCATTTTGAGTATTCTTCTACTAATGGAGCAGCCTGCGGATGGTTTCGTGACCTCGCGCACGTTTTCTTTTCCAGAGTTATACCGAGTTTGCAAATACCACTACTCCCTATTTTCATCACTAAATGAACCGTGCGTCGAGCTGATTCAATCTGGGTTATTGATTGCACTGTATGAACATGGTCATTGCCTGGCGCATCAGGCATATCTTACAATTGGCACTTGTGCAAGAATGGCTAGTGCCATAGGGCTGCCCGCGCCTACATCCGCTATATCTCAATCTACAGAAATGACGACCTGTACAGAAGAAGGCATAAATATTCTCCTTGGGATTTACACTCTTGACAAGTAATATATAGCACTACATATCGTTCTTTCGTGAAATACTCGTTCGCTAATACTCCAGGTCTCATGGCAGGCATATCAAAATTGTTTCTAAGGTGATCAACAAGCCCATAATCTATGAACATTCTCCAATTCCAAAACCTCTGGGTATAACAGGTCTGTCTCTCATGATTAGTGTCGTATTGAGTCTCACAGGCCTAATCTCATATAGTGGGTAAGGTTGGCACCTTACAGTGCGAATCGGATGCGTGTGATATCCTTGAACGAGTACAAGCTGCTCTCTGCGATCGCTCTCCTGCATATTTGTCGGCTTGCCCTGGCGGTATGCGGCTGGCCCGAGACGTCTCCATGGAAGCAGAACTACAGAGGCTGATGGCACATTTTACGGATCACCGAGATGCTTTTCTATGGCACCGAGGCCTTGATACAACGTTCGGGTAAGCTCTACACTCAGATTCATGCTCTGTGCTGAGGCTGAATGACTTACACTGTTTGGTAGGGCGATGTTGTGTTCATACGCTCTCTACAAGCTCCAAACGACAAGCGACAGTGCCGTTGAACTTCCTGGACAACTTCAAACAATCTTAGAGTTAATCATGGACATATCGAGTAGCCGGCTCAATCTGCTCGCAATGACAGGGGATGTCCACCTCGCATTTCTGTCTCCATTCTCCATAACTGGCCTTTTTTTGGTGTTGGAAGCCATGGGATCGCTAGATCCGGGGGGAAACATCGACAAATACCTACTCAGGTACAAGAATACTTTCATGGATGTGCTTCGGTGCCATAGTAGCCGATGGAGATTAGCAGGTAGGTAACCGAGGGCTACTGTTTACAAAGATTCAAGGGCTGACACAAAGCCTTATAGGGCATATTCTGGAGATATTGGAATAAGATGTAGCAAGTTCTTGCGCGGCGTGATGATTGTGGACTTGATGTTTAGTCTGGAATTTGAACGAGGGAGGGTGTAGTTTCGAAATGTGCCCAAAGGCCAACCGATTTCGAAATATTGAAATTCCACTCCCTTTTTCTCATCTCAATCTCATTGGGTTTAGAGTCTAATACATAGCAGTGAAAAAAAGCGGTCGCTAAATTATATGGGTTGGCGCGCTGTACGCGCGAGCACTAGCCATTCATCGTCCAATTTAATTAAAGTGCTAACAGAGCGACGGGCCCAAATTAACTTCAGATAATTAAGCCATTCTCTTGAGGATGCTAGTGATCTCATACTGTTGATAAACGTCAGACAATCGTTACCATGTTTTGATTCGGGGTGAAACCGTGAATAGAACAGTGTATTGCTGATAAGTCCGATTTGAGCCCGAGTACAAGAACTCTTGTGGTATGGTGTTAATTGTATAAGACCCAAGGCCGGCTTACTGTGACAACTCATTCCATTCTTCTGCGTTGGATGGCATCGCAAATCTTTCAACCAAAGTTGCCCGGGGCAGCAAAAGTTTTGGAATCACCACAGATGATCTCAGTTTGTCTGACCTCTGATGGGAGTGAGAAACCTCCTGTGATTGTCGGTTTGCTGGCGTCTTCAGGTGGCGGGTCTCTGTGGTCTTCTCGTAGGTAGGCTCGGGAGTAAAGATGCGTTTCGAAATTCTGGAAGAAAACAGCAAGGCAGGTTTGATTGGAAATCTGCCCCAGACAGAGCGTAGAGCCCGAAATACCTGCAAGGAGATATCCGTCGTATTCGGTCCTCCAGAGAATTGAAAACTCTAAGATAATGTCTGCTTGTCCCATAAATACTCAGAACCTTCTGCTAGAGTTTGCTGCGCGCTTCGCGATATACCAAACCCAGTCCTCTTTAGCAGACTACCTGTCACCACAGTAAACCCCATAACAAATATTGGGTCGCCGCCGAGGACGTTGCGATAGTCACCCCAGTCAATCACATGGGGTGTCCCATCGAGGCTCAGAATTCGCGCAGGAGTTCCTGCAGGAGCCTCCACAGTGACCAGGGATAAATCATAGACGAAACCGGACGGGAAAGGCAACAGATTCGACAGTATGGGGTCGTAGGTCGTTGTGATCACTCTAATATATCGCCCGAATATTTACCGACTGGGCCCAGCGAGGGATGGTAGGTCCGAATTAACTTCTCGCTGAGTGGCGTTATGGTTGGCTCTATAGAGGCGCGTGCAGTAGCAACGTCTTTGCTACCCCATTCAGATGGTGTTGTTTCTGAACGACTGTTAGCTTTTTCTTGCACTGTGGAGATACTCATCTAGGTTGTCCTTACTAGAAATCAAGACCATTGACCACAGAAATCCTACCCGTTCAGCAGGAGGTCTCTTGTGAGGGTCAATACATACATCTGGAATGGGAGGGTAGGGGAGAAGGTCTGAGTCTCTAGCATCTATTCGCTGGTTTTTTTATTTTAGCCATGCAATGTGAGCCTACCCTAACCCCGAGTTGGATTGACTTGAGATCTAACTATCATAGAAAACCTAGGGTAATTGGTGATTATACATTATCGAACAATAATAATTCATGTTTGTTGTATTCATGGCCTGAGCTGACTCAATCCCCGAATGTTGGGGTAAAAACTCCAACATCACCAAGACAGAGGAAATACCCCGGGGAATGCAGTGACACGGCAAAATCTTTAATTAGTAAATATGATAGGCTCTTGGAAATGGCGTAGAAAACTGACATCTCCACGCTATACAAAATTCGGTTAATACATAGGGTGTTGACTACCCCTCCCTTAGCTATAAAATAACACCCCCGAACCGCAAGTCATATATAACTGGAGAGCAAGTCGTCATCCAGCTTCATCGGTGTGTATTCCAATATCCAACTTTCTTTTGTCCTTATTGTTGACCCCAGATGGCTCTGAGAGGACAAAAATGCCAGCCGAATTAACGCTACCCAGCGTTTCTGGGTCACCTAGCGACCGGAAAATCAAAATCTTGCTAGTGAACCCCAACTCTACCCAGTATATGACAAATGCTTGTTTGAAGGCTATCGCACCTAATCTACCCTCGGACGTTATCGTTGATGGATTCACTGCTCCCCGCCCAGGGCCCACAGCGATTGAATCACAGACTGATGCAGTGCTGTCCACGGAGGTTTGCATCAGAGCCATAGCACCAATCGCCGAAAATTATGACGCATTTTTGGTCGCTTGCTTTCGAGCACATCCTCTCATCGGTGTCCTGAGAGAGGAATACTCGCAACCTGTGCTCGGAATCATGGAGGCAGCAATGTATTCTTCGCGCATGTTGGGTGATAGACTAGGAATTATCTGCACCTCTGCGCGCTCCTTGGTAGCCCATAGACACACTGTTTTAGCCTATGGATTTTTGGAATACTTTGCTGGATGTGAATCAGCCGAATTGGGAGTTTTGGAGCTCGACTCGAAGCCGAAAGAAGAGGTGCATGCAATCATCTCCCAGAAGGTCAACCGACTTGTGAAAGAGAAAGGTGCGGATTGTGTCCTGTTGGGATGTGCGGGAATGGCAGAGATGCGGACTCATTGTGAGTCTGCAGTTGAAGGAACCGGTGTAAGGGTGTTGGATGGTGTGGGATTAGGCATCCAACTCCTGACAGGTTTAGTGAGAGAGAATCTGAAGACTGCCAAAAGCGGGTTGTACAAAGACTCTTCGGCAGACAGGTCTAAGCGTGGCCAGGCCTGGCTTTGAAAGATGGTAGAAATAAATAACAAGAGTATTGTATGGGATTTGCACATGCCCAGGAAGCTGTTTTTAATTAAATGAAATAAATTGATATATAAATTCAAATATCCGTACTGCAATCGATATTGCTTTCCAGTAGATCAGCATATATCCTTAAAGCCCCGCCAAGTATGTGCATAATCTCAAAGACATGTGTGCCCTTCAATATATTAGAGAGTAATCGAACGAGTATCACTCCTATTCGCCGTAGTTCTTGGCTTCCGGTTTCTCCCAAACCATCGGCCGCCGGGACCAAATCCGCTTCCCGTAACACACTTCTTATTATCCTCAAAAGCCGCCTCTCATCACGACGCAGATCTATAGGGTCTGTAGCAAGGGTCTCCAACCACTTGTATAAAAACAAAGCGCATTCCACATTGCAAAGCGAATGAATTGTGCTCCATGTCAAAGCTTGTGTCTTGGCGACATACTCTACCCCAAGCCGCACCGGAATGGAAAGGGCGTGTATAGATTGAAGGACTGCATGGTAGATCTGCGGAGTTTGCACAGGCGGTGGTGCGTTGAGAAAAGCATATGCAATGGCTTCAGAGTCCCAGGTTCCGAAGCTGCGGTGTGGGCCAAGATTCACATGTAATCGAAGGCAGGCTATGCGAAATATTGCTGTTGCGTTAAACCCCAACGGCCCACCCGGAGAAGATGGCGTTATTGAAGGATCAGAGCTAATCTGCCAACTCTTTTGCCATCTGTGAAGCGCAGCGTGGAATCTTGTAAGAGTCTCGTGCGGTAAAGAGACCCGGTTTTTCTCCGTGGACATTGAAAGACAAGTTGCTGATTCCCAAGCTAAATATATTTGTTGAGAAATGGCATGAACAAGGATTAGATTGCCAAATGAAGATAGGCTAAAATGATGCTTGTGAACAGATTCCGATCGAAACAGTTGGGTGTAGCCATCACCGAATGTGGGACATGATGGCCATTTTTGTAGAAGGGCCTTCCATTCGGCAGAGCTAGAAGCCCTCCAGAGCTCCTCGGGCCACGGGAGATAGAGTGAGGTGATTTCACTATTTAGAATTTTAGGAGGTGTATTATAAAGAATTGTCTGGACGTTGGAGAGCATAAAAGCAATAAACTTGGTACGTCGCCGGCCTTCCTGTTGTACCCAGGAACCCCATGTTCCATCGTGGGTGTGGGTATCATCAGAGAGAAGTCCGCTATCCCGAAGATAAAGTGACATTTGACTAGCCATCGCGAGTGAATCGTGGAGCAGTTCTTGATCCGCCCAGATTCCCAGAGTTGTGAGAATAATCTGAGCTTGCAAGACATCAATATGTGGGGTTTCAGCGAAGTTTTCATGTTCGCTCTGGACCCTCTTAGTGCGGAGAAACTTCCCTTGGACATGCAGGATGTGATAGTCGATCAAAGATTTCGACGCCCTGTAAAATGATACCGCACGAGCTCGCTCAAATCGATATTGTGCCCCCATAGCGATGATGGCTAGTGTCAAATGCGGTGGCAAGCATGCGACGGAAACAGTGGGCAAATGTAGAAATGGTAAATGTTCATGGCTTCCTGTGAAGAATCCCTCAATGTATCTGCAAAATACGTACTTAGAGGGAAGGCTAAATGATTTTGGGAGAATATGGCGAACGTTCCCGATGTGGGATAAAACTTCCTGGTAATCATCCTTGGAAATATACCAAGGGTAATTCAAGTTGGGGGTTTCCCGGTCTTCTGTGGAAGAACTTGGAGGCCGCGAGGCATTCTCAGGGGGTGTTGAAGCGGTCTCCTTATCTTTTTGCAAGGGTGGAAGCTGATCGTTGCATAATGATGCATCATCATCTGAATAGGGGCTCTCTGATCGCCTTCCACCGTAGTTTGGACCTGAGGGCAGTTCCGATAACCCAGAATGTGTTGGCTCCGGGATGTCAAATTCAGGCAAGGAAATAAGTTCATTCGGAATACCTGAACCCAATGCAAATGGTCCTTCCCAGGAAAGGTTCGCTTCTATGCCGCCCCATAAAAGTTGAAGATCATGCAGATTTTCATCAAAAGATTGTTGTGGGGTGTTTGAGGGGAGCAAGGCCGTAGCTGACGCTTGCATTTCTTCCACCGAAGGCATTTTATCTAGGAAAATGGGTTGCAAATCACATGCGACATTTGAAGTTTGAATCTCCACATCATCATGCCTTGGTGGCTGGTCTGGTCTGGAAACCGCCGATAAGGCCCCTTCATGGCCATCTGGCCACAAATCCAGTGCTCGACCCTGAACTGCCTCAGATCCAAGGAGATGTGAAGCATTACCATTGACACGATCAGACTTATCGGTTACCTCAACCTCGCTGTGACAAGAAGGGTCGTTCTTGAGTCTAAGGTGCCGAGACAAAAGGTCACTATCACTACATAGTTAGTTCAACTCTGCAAACCGAGAGGGGCAATTGTTTTCTCACCGTCTAGCAAACCTTTTGTTACAATGGCAGGAGAAAGGCTTTTCAAGTGTATCTAGACTATATCAGATAACCTAGTTTGAAGATATGAGTGGATAATAGGACCACGCACGAGTCCGCTCATGGCGGAGTAAATGTTCTCGGCGGGAAAACCGCCTGCGACAAAATTTACATGGCGCGACTTCAACACGTGGCCGCATGTTGCAACAGAAATTGACACTGTATAGTCGTTTGTCGGCTGTTCTCCCACAATTCCGACTGCATCGTTCTAGAGGCCGACGCGCGTGTAGACAAGTAAAGGACTTGGAGTGAACTGATAACGATGTTTGTTACCCCCGCAGGCGAGAGCGGTAAGCCCCTATGGGCTGGGCCCCGACCGGATAAGCCGTCAGTCAGCCGAGTCCTTATCTAAGGTTCGATCGGCGTTTTCGGAAGAAACCCGTTATGATATAGGGATATAGGGGGTGCCTTTTACCAAAGAGACAACCCCAGTATCTCTCAGTTGGCGCACACATTCGTAGTTCCATACTAACCAGCCCCTGTGTTTTTCCCCCACAAAAGAAACGGCCCCTCTGTTAACCTCAAGAGAGTCAGGGGCGAAAAGTATAGACGGGTCTAGCGAATACCGGGTACATATATGCCCATGAGCTTCTGCCTTTCTTGCTCTCTCCCGCGTTCTGTTTTGGCTTGGCGGCCTTCCACAAAAGAAGCTGAAACTGGGGAAGTTAGGTTTGCCATTTGCTTCACCCAAGTTACCCCTAGACCAGGTTAGACCTCCGCAAAGCCCACAAAGCCCAAAGCACAACCTGTCCCAACCCACTGATGGGCTGGATTTTGGGCCCAGGTTGAAAGCCCACTGGGCTTTAAAAGGGGGCCAATAGGACCCAATAAGCACCAAACAATACAAACTTTTCTAAAAACATGAGCTTTTTAATTATCTTATGTTTATACTCTGTTCTTATTCTTTATTCTGAAGTAATATTTTATTTATTCTAATTTATGAATTACTGAAGTTCACTTCGAAAGTAGTGTACTCTATACAAATCCCAAATATATATTCTCAAAGAGTTAATATTGACCTTTTTCGCAGTATCTCGACGTCTATCCGTCGGATTTTGTTTAAAATTAAAATATCTACTTATATAATAATTATTAGTATTGTAAATTGTCAATGTTGAAGCTCTATATAATAAATAAGTGGAAGGTTAGAATATAGCGATTACAAGATACTAGTTCAGCCCCCTAAATGGGCTATAATGGGGGCCTTATGGGCCCCCACGAATGGGCTGCGGGTTGGGTTGGGCTTTGCGGAGGTCTACCCCTGGTGGTGACAGACACACTGCCCAAGTACAGTTGCCCTTCACCATAGCTTTTATTATAATTAACGGAACGTTGTTGGATACAGTCTGACATCCCAGGCAATTCAGAAAAGAAATGATGCTAGTTGAGGCATGCTAATTATTGACCAACAGTCTTAGGGCGCCATAGATCACGTTCCCCTTCGATCATACCTGCCGGTTGCCTTCCCAGCTTTCCAACCAAAACACGACCATTATCTCGTTTGAGATATTTGCCAAATCCCTTGACACCCGTGACACGATTTTCATCTGCGTTCCAAACGAGCTCACCACGCAGGATTGTGAACCGGGGCCAATTTCTCACCCGCATCCCCTCAAAAGGGGTGTAGTCGACATCGTGGTGAAGATTATCCTGAGAGATAATCCTTTCTCCCTGGTTCTCTGGATGCCAAATCACCAGATCTGCATCTAAGCCAGGCATAATTGCGCCCTTTGACTTCAACCCATACAACCTTGCGGGATTGCCGGATGTGAGTTGCACAAATCGCTCAACACTTAATCTTGCTTGACCTCTCGGCAAGCAGCCTTCTGACTCGCTAAATAGAAGAGACAATCGGGTTTCAATTCCAGGAATCCCCTTGGGAATTTTGCTGAACTTTGGAATTCCATTTATGATACCAGCCTTTTTTCCTTGGGGGTGATCATACTTGGTTGGAGCATGATCTGAGGAGAAAACCGTAAATGTATCATTTGCGATACCACTCCAAAGTGCCTCAAGATCCTCTACATGGTGACGAAGAGGAGGGGAGCATACACCTTTGGCACCGTGGAAAGCGTCATGTTCTTTTGCTGCTAGCTTGTCAGACAAGAGGAAGAGGTAATGAGGGCACGTTTCCGCATGAATAGGTAGCAGCTTCGTCTGCGCATCTCTGATATGTTTCATTGCCCCATCGGAAGAGACATGGACGAGTAAGACAGGGGCGCCGACCAGCTCCGCAAGCCTAATCGCGCGATACGAGGCCTCATCCTCTGCAATCTTCGGGCCTGCGATGGCATGGAAGAATGGATCTGTGTGTCCGTTTCTTTCGAGACCCTGAATCAAGAACTCTATGATGTCACTATTCTCAGCATGGATCATTGTGGTCAACCCAAGCGATTGACAAGCTAACATTGTTTCAAGGAGTTGGCGGTCAGACAGCTTGTACAATTCGTATGTCATGTACAATTTCACACTTGTAATCCCTTCCTGCTTTGCAATGACCGGAAGTTCCTCATTGAGGATTTTCGCAGTCGGGTTCGTAAGAACGAAATGGAATCCATAATCGCAATAGCACTGCTCTCGGGATTTGTTGTGGTAGTCCTCAAGAACAGGGAATAGAGATTCCATCTCTTTTGTCTGCGATGCAAATGCAAGGACAGTTGTGGTGCCTCCAGCAACAGCGCTGCGTGTCCCTGTCTCCCAATTATCTCCAGTTGGCGCGTTCCTTTGCGCAAGATGGACATGGGAATCCACGCCTCCGGGGGTGATGTATGCTCCCTGGGCATCAATTATTTTGGTCTCGGGTCCTTCGGGAAGATCAGATCCAATAACGGATATCTTCCCATTGGAAATTCCAATGCTTTGCCCTGCTGGTAGCACCCCGCTTTCTGTAGCCTAGTCAACACAGTTAGCGATCAACAATATGATGGCATATATTGAAACAATGGAAGGGATATCTCACGATTAGTCCATTTCTGATGATAACATCTAGCATGATGGGTGTAAAAGGTTGAATAATGGTAGATATAATTTGGTACCTGTTCCGTGAATTATAATGGTAAAAATAGATTCTTGGAACGTGCAGGGCACTTAAACATTCATTCCTCCACGCATATATACAAATCTTAGCGCTTTTCGGTTGCCCATTATGTCTCTCGGGGTAGTTGCGGGATTCTAAAAGTATCTACTCCAATTTTCAGAAATGTGGATTTCATTTCCCCTCATTTAGATTTCGCGATAGCAATTTCAATGTGGTACTTTGCAAACGCGCTATTATTGGTGATAGATAACACGGTTTCACGATCACCTATTTAGTGGAGGGTGAGATGAATGAGTCAATTCGAAAGCGGAACAAGCCCCCGAATATAGCTTGAGCATTGTCTTAGATCTCATGAATTTTGAGTGGCAATGAGTGTAAGTGATGGCTGTCTATATGTTACTGTTTTCATATCCGCAAGGTCAAATTCTTCTTCAGCTGCAATGTGTGCAACTGCATATGTTCAATTTTTATACAGTCTCTCTATAAGCGCGCCTAGAATGAGATTCATGCATACGAAGATTTCGGATTGAGAGCTGTTTTGAACTTAAAAATGCGGTGATGTAAATTTGGTAGAATATCACAAAATCATCCCACTCATCGTAACCCTCACCCCCAAGCCGAATCCGTTTTAATTCCACAGTAAGTCTGGCTCGATGACACCAGTACGCTCCAATATTGAGTAATAATGTTCTGGTCTTCGATGCTTCTCGAAAGCAAATACCGTAGACTTAGGACGACGGCAATCGGCCAAGTCAATAGTGGCCACAACGACTTCATCTTCCTTTGTCAATGCTTCCTTGATGATATGTCCAAGAGGATGCACAATCATCGTTCCACCAACCAGCGGGTGTCCATCTTCCGCGCCCGTTTTCGCCACATTGATACTGAAGCAGCCGTTCATATAACTATTTCCTTGACAAGAAAGCTTATGATGCAACAAAACCTCCTCCTCAGCTGCTTCTGGACTCAGGTCCACCATATGCCCCTCGGATGTTGTGGCAAATGCAGTAGTATTGTATCCACAACACATGATCTCCATTCCTTGGAGGCCATATACTCGCCATGCTTCAGCCCATCGTCGATCGTTGCAAATCAGCATCCCGACGATAGGATCGCCCTTTCCAGCAGTCTCCGAAGCATCTTCAATACCACTGGACTTCTTTAAAGCACCTTCGACAAGTCCTGGGGCTCGGAATGCCGGAAATCCGAGGTCTCCATTGCGGAAATAGCGCTTTTCTAGCTGCTGAAATGCACCTGGCGCAGTGCGTGGCTCGACGGTTCCAGGAAGGTGTACTTTGCGGTACTTTCCAACAACTTTGTCTACTTGCGCCGAGTAGTACACGCTAGAGTTGTAGTCGATATGAAAGCCGTCCTTTTGCAGACTCCGCTCAGCATAGCCCACATAAACGTCAATACCAAGGGAGCGAGCATGGTCGAAAAGAGGCTTGATATTTGGGGATTGCTCAATTCCACCCTTGCTTGGGTCCTCAATATCAAAGTATTGGTCTAGCTCTTTCCCCTCGATTAGATACCTAGGGAAGAATGTAGTGAAGGCCAGCTCAGGAAAAACTGCGAGTTTTACGCCTTCCTCCGCAGCACGGTCCAAAAGGTCAAACATGCGCTTTAGGACATCATGCCGTGAGTTTGCAAGGTGAATTGAGCCAAGTTGACAAGCAGCAACTGTCAATAGCCGTGACGGTTCGGCATTGTTGGAACCCATCGTGGTGATTTGGGCGTTGATTCAATGGTCGGTTGGATAATTTTTCAGAGAGATGGGGGCAAATAATAATGATTGAACAAGGTATGCAACTGGATAATAATATGAAATTATAATTGATCAAGTGAATACAGTGTGGGGCTGTTCTATTGACAGTTGGAGACAAAACCTCCGCACTCCTAGGCCATGATGTATTTACCCCAATTAATACCGCGTATCCGCGTATCTGATTCCTACCATCCCCTGAATGAAATAGTAATTGGGGTAATTTGAGTTGTTTATCTACGTGAACATATGTACATGTAGTTATCTCAGGCTAACATTAAGGCTTATCGCCACTTTCTTGGCTTGCGGAGATCTTCCCGAATGGTGACGGGCCCTGGTTCCACTAATAATTCCCCATGTTTACTCTCTATCATCGTCTTGGAGATACGAAGACAGTGGGTGATGTTTGGGGAAAGCCCACTATCTATAGAAAATGCGGAGAAATCAGCAACCTACCAGCCGTTTACCCCCATGTTTTGTACATGTTATTTGTTATCTTCAGGCAATAGTACACAGTATGCTCAAGTATAAATCAGGGGGAAAGCAGCTTGGATCTACTTGAGGGATATAAAACTTTGTTAATTTTCCGGCGGGAAAAAAAACTTGTCTGCGTATCCCTTATTTTGACCATCCAAATGGGTTTCGATTCTAGTCCTCGGCAGCCAGACGAAGAGCAGCCATTCAAAAGCTACGCGTCCCAACATCGTGAAAATACACTGGAAGACCGCCCTTCAGTTCGAAATTATGCAGTCACTAGAATTACTTCACTCAAACCTCCCATGGAAAATATCAAAAGTCCATTCCGCTTGTTAGCTATGTTAAACGCCCAGCAATGGGCTTTTCTTGCCGTCTCCTTCGCTGGATGGTCATGGGACTCGTTTGATTTCTTCACCGTATCACTCACAGTCTCTGATTTGGCCGAGACATTTAACAAATCGACCACTGATATCACATGGGGAATTACTTTGGTACTTCTGCTGCGACCACTCGGCTCAATAGCATTTGGAATTGCGGCAGATCGATATGGACGGAAGTGGTAGGTTTTGATATGACCAGACACTTAAATTTGAACCATCCACTCACTATTGCTGTAGGCCTTTCATTGTGGCGAATTGTATTTTTGTCATCTTGGAACTTGCTACTGGCTTTACTCAGACATATGGACAATTCCTTGCAGTTCGTTCTTTGTTTGGGATTGCTATGGGCGGACTATATGGGGTCGCTGCTGTTACAGCCCTCGAAGACTGTCCTGAAGAGGCTCGTGGTCTGGTGTCAGGCCTAATGCAGCAAGGTTACGCATTTGGTTATCTTTTGGCAACAGCATTTGCTCGGGCATTGGTCAACACTACAAATCATGGTTGGAGACCGTTATTTTGGTTTGGTGCATGTCCACCAGTTCTCATTATTGCTTTTCGCTTCTGTCTTCCAGAGACAAAGGCCTTCCAGGCTCGGCAAGCGATTCGCAAAGAGCAAGGAAGTCTAGCTCAGACATTTATTGCAGAGGGACGTGTTGCTCTAAAACGCCATTGGCTTTTACTCGTCTATCTCATTCTCCTGACATCCGGACTTAACTTTATGGCACACGGCACCCAGGACTTGTATCCTACAATGTTAAGGAACAACTTGAACTTTTCAGCGAATGCCATTACAGTTACCCAGGTTGTTGCTAATCTAGGTGCAATCACCGGGGGAACAACTGTGGGATACTGTTCTCAATTTCTTGGCCGACGCCTCAGTATGATTATTGTTTGCATTATCGGAGGGGCTCTGTTGTACCCTTATACTATGGTGCAATCAAAGGGTGTGATTGCCGCAGCTTTCTTTGTGCAATTCTGTGTCCAGGGAGCTTGGAGTGTGATACCCATTTACATTATGGAGCTTTCCCCAAGTTCCTTCCAGACTTTCATGCTTGGAACAGCATATCAGATGGGAAATCTTGCTTCAGCTGCCTCATCGACAATTGAATCAACACTTGGCGAGCGCTACCCACTGCCGTCGTTGACACACGCAGATGGTACCGTTGTTAAGCGATTTAACTATGGCAAGGTGATATGCATCTTTATGGGAGCGGTTTATGCTTATAGTATTTTTATGATCTTTATTGGGCCAGAAAAACGAGTTCGTGTCTTGAATGGTGAGCATGACACAGAGGTGGGTGGATTGGAAGATCAAGCAGAAGAACATGTCACTAAAGCCTAAGTCTAGAGGCGATCAGAGGTTTCGCCAATCTCACCTTTGGGTTGTCAACCAAAAAATGCTGTCTATGGCAATCTGGCACTCGCTGTTCCTAAGATGATATTACCTGTTGTAAAAATCCATTGTCTAGTCAAGAGAAATTTGATTATATTTATATTGAAATGTATGCAGAATGAGTGGTCTTTTGGGTGTGTTGTCAAATCCGCCATACGGTGCAACCTGCAGGCTTAAATCACGATACCACTGGCAACTGGCGTAATCGATGACAAGGTTCTGTTTGGATATATCCACGGAATTTGAAAGTGAGGGGGCAAACAAAAATGCTGCATAGAAGAATAGCTTAGAATATCTTCTCCGTCTGCTTATTCTGTTCAAAAATTTGTGTGACGGCGTCTTGCCCTCGGAAGATCGCAAACTGTCCCGCCGTCCACCTTTTATTTCCTGACTTGAGGGAGACATCTGCTCCAGCATCGAGTAACATCTGAACAATCTCAGGATGTCCACATTCTGCCGCTGCCGAAAGCGCCGTATACCCATTATAGTATGAGCCTTCAGCATTCACATCGGCTCCTGCATCTAACAGTTGACGGACAAGCTGTCGGTGGCCTCCAAAAGCCGCGCCTTGAAGGGCCGTGAAGCCTTTATACCTTTCAGCGGGTGAATTTATATTGGCATTTTCGTGTAGAAGAATTTTCACGATATCGGCGTGCCCTCCTAATGCAGCAGCTTGAAGTGCGGTGCGGCCTGAATTCTTAGCTGGAGGCGTATTGATATCTGCGCCTTGCTCAAGAAGCCATTGCAGTAGGTCGATATGGCCCCCCTCGGCGGCGGCCTGTAGCGCAGTTCGCCCCGCATACGGATGGGGTGGGCGATTGATATCTGCACCCGCAGAGACTAAGCGGATGACGATGTTCATATAGCCTCCTCCACAGGCCAGTACTACCGCTGTTCTGCCACCGTTGTTTCCTCCAGGAGCGTTAACGTCTGCCCCTGCCGCTAACAAAATCTCGACCACAGCGAGATGTCCATTGCAGGAGGCAGCTTGAAGGGCGGTCTGCCCGTAGTAGCCTTTAGCGGGCTCATTAGGGTCCACTGGTTGGGCTAAGAGGCGCTGTACTTGACACACATTCCCTTGCGCAGCGGCAAGCTGAACGGGAGACCATCTGCCCTCGTCATCTGGTTCATCTAGTTGAGATTTCTCAGTTGATGAAATTTGATTTCCCTGCATCTTGAGAGTTCTGCTGTGGTCATTTCGTGTCCCCGGTGGCTATGTATATTAACTGTAGGGATGATGCTTACCTGGTCAAAACGGCATCGTGGATTCTTAGCGCAAGATAAAACGAGCCCAAAGTAAACCAATCGGAGGCTAATAGTTAAAGCCGATGTATAAGCGAAAGAGCTAGTGGAATAATGTACGCCAATTACATTTCCATTACTCAGCGGTATTGATGAGCACACCGCTTTCAAGTTAAATAATTTCCTAATATATAGGTACCAACAGGACGTGCGTGTTGCATGATACAGGTGGTGTATTATTGGGAAGGCCGATGCCGGGGTTGTGAGTCTGACCGACGGAGCTCCGAATACAGACCTCGGGATGTAAGAAAGATACGTAAGCACTAACCGACCCTTCCATTAATATTACATTTATCGCCTCAATTGCAGACCCTCATTATGATGTACATAATAAATATCGGAACTATGCAAATAACCGGCGTAAACAATATGGTGGATCTTATAAAAAGAAAGCTCTACTAGACCCCAGCTATGGGCAATTAATTGAACGTTGAATCCCCAAGAACTATTCTCCATCAAAATGACATGAGACATGAACTTGTAAGACCGGACACTGCTGAATGATCAAAACCAAATCCTCTTTGGTCAGATGAGGGGCAGGTATCAAACCAGGGTTCTCACCGTTGTCAAATCCTTCCTCCTACTTGGATTCATATTGACGGATCTTCCGCGCGAAAGTAATATTAACCATAGCGCCGTCGGGAGGACATATGGAAATAGACAGGAAGGAAAGAAAGGCGCCCTTCGTTGATTTCTCGTTTCGCATGAGCCTCAACCTCTCTTGGTCACTTTTTCATCGCAGTATTACTCCCGCACAAAACGAGGAAACCATCATTTTCCTGATACTTTTTAAATCGACATCTCCTCTTAAGTATCTGGGGTAGTCGCTGTAGTCGGGGGAGTAGGTTCACGTTTCTGGTCTGCTCCGGCGCTTTAGTGACCAGCTCTTTCTGCTGGTACTCCCATCGGAACCTCCATCATCCGGCGCATCGATGAACTTTCCATCTCACCATCGGCACCACGATGCGAAAAGGCTACTTTTTTTCCAAGCACTTGTAGGGAAAAGGAAGGAGACTTGCTTCTTTCTCTATCACGGAAAAATCGGTGTGGGAGCAACACCTCTGACATAGGACTCGTCGCAGACAAATTCTTCAGCAATCGTCAGCTTGAAATACCATGTAGTTATATAAGCAGGTATACCCAGACACGAAACTAAAGACATTTGTAAGATCGAAGGCCACCCTTGGATGACTAGCCCATAGACCTGATATGGGTTTGGGTGCACGGATGAAAATTCTGAGAATCTTCGATTGGTTGGTCTCGATCTATGCAACATATTCTAGGCCATATAGGCTCGATCTGATATGATTTAGCCTCACATGTTCGAGAATCTCGACCAATACGGGGCTGCTCTCAACTGTGAAGCATCTCTTCTAGCTGTGGGTCGAGTCAGTTTTGCATCTCTGATGTAACTGGCGATGTTGTAGACAGATTTCTGGTTTTCTATCAGAGTTAAGCAGTAGCAGTGATGAAGTGAGAAAGCAGCCTGCCCTCTGGAAGGATGTTTAGAAGGATGCTGGACTTTGGAAGAGTGGTGGAGTGGAATGAATATCAGATGGGAAACCTAATTTCAACTGCCTCATCGTCAATTAAAAATGGGAATAAGAGATGTCTTGGTTGTGTTGCTTTATACATTGGAAAATCGTTTTGCAATGTGACATTCAAGCCGTTTCGCTACCTACATATATTCTAGCGAGAAGGCCAATTATGGTGAAATACCTAATCAAGTGAACATCCAAAAGAACGCCCTGAAAGGACACCACAATGCCACATGAGCGATCACTATTCTTCTTATAAAGAATAGCAAACTACACCGTACCCTGAGATATAGATTGAGCCGAGTGGGACCTAAACCTACACACTAACCTATGAACTCAAACTTTTTGCCACGCGGGTTGAATGACATAAACTAACTCTACACTGTACACCAAGATTTTGAAAGACTTAAATCCCAATTGTCTCTGGCAACGAAAATTCAGCCCATGCAATTAAACCGACCGGCAATCCACAAAGATACGCGAAGCCCGAATTTCCCCCAAGGTCTACTGGACAGAGTCAACGCTGCACATAACAGTCCCTCCTGCGATTCCAGCGTTAAATACATCTTTCATGTCATCCACAGGAGGACAAGGGTATGTGTTAGAAGTCACATGATGCCTTCCTGTTTGCTCCTAGTTGTTTAGTCTAGTTCATGCTTATAGATAGTTTCTCTCCTATCCATGCATTCAGAGATTTCCAGTCATATATACAGCTCCATTTTAGACACTCTAGATCTTCCCTCAGGTTATGAGCTTTTTGCTTTCAAATCCTCTATGTAACTATATAGACTCGAAACCTTGGGTTTTCTCCTATTGGTATACTATATCACACCAACTAGGTTCCTCCAGAACCCAATTAGACCCGGGACACAACCCAACCCAACCTAGCTTTGGGTTAGACCTGTCAGTAACGCTGATTGTATCCTGAAATGGACTTAATGCTATGTTAAGGGCTTACATTATCCGCATAATTCATATAACGTATACGATCAACACAATATTATATTGTGACTCTATTCTATCCTATGAGATATTCTCTCCTCTCCATTGCTTCGGATTCGCTCACTAGACACACACGGACACATAAAAACGTCACCCTTGTATCTTTTTCTACCCCATGTAATCACTCCGTCCTTGAATTTTCCAAACCGAAATCCTGCCGCAGGGTCTCCGCACTTTGCACCGACAAAATGGTAGCTTGATTAACCCAGTTCAAATCATGCTCATCGAGCTTTGCTTCTACCTCTTTTTCGATTTTGCCCCCTTGCAGGTGGCTGAGAAAGGCATCACGTCGCAAATGCGGCACAATAATGGAATCCATCCAACGAGTCGTTTTAGAGTCACTGAAAAGCTGTATAGAGCCAAGCATAACCGATCGCCAGCCAAACTCATATGCTCTCACCTTCACCTGGACACCTTCTCGTGCTAACCAGTAGGCTGCATCTTGATCTCCAGCCAACCACCGATAGACATAGTGAAGACAAAGAACACAGAGTAAGGATACGCCATCCCAACCTTTCTGTGCCGCCACATATGTAATCACGATAAGTTGGAGTCCATGTGCGACGTAGAAGAACCTGGCTGCTAGTTGTACTCGATTTCCCTCCGGAAAGGATATCATGGGCTTGTTGAGCAGGCTGTCGACAATTGCGCGGTCGCCAATATATAAGGCCCATTCCGAAGCATTGACGTGTGATGCGACTAGCATAGTTGCATTCTCGGACTTCTCATTATTGCGTAGATATCCCGAACTTCGAGGAATGGTAATAATTCTGCCCACCAGTCTGGAACTTATAACAATCAAGATAAGGCTGGCAGTCCCATATGCACCCATAAGACAGAATATCAAGGCGATACCGCAGAGTATGATGAAGCTAAGTACAGTCCATATTCTTGAACGGCTAATTCTAACAATGCTATATCGTAGAGATTCACAGTGGGGCTGGTGGAAATTGTATTGGTACACATATAAGATCTGTTGGCGAAAATGTGGCTTGTTGCTGGTAGTTTGGTCCTTGCGCAGTGGTACTTCGCGAATATTAGAAGCTGCAGATGTTTTTGATGGAGGGAGAGATCGCTTGAATAATTTATCGTTTTTCGATTTCGCGCGTTCAAGAATAACTCCCTCAATGGCAGCGCTCGCAGCACCATTTGCGCATGGAAACTCAGATCCCCACTTGACATCCCATACTGTTCGGGATGAGCCTCCTCTAACGCTGGCAAAGTCAAAGTACCTTGATCCGTTCTTTAGGAGTCTTCCTAGTCCCCAGAGGGTCCCAAGGCGAGGAAACAAAGGTATCGAGAAACGTCCGTTGAGAGATAGATCTCCAGCAATGAGGTAATCATCTTGAGGACTTGCAAGATGACAGACAAGTGGGATTACTGCCGCCCATTCAGAGATTATCCCTGGCAGTTGAATCATTCCCAGAAATTCCCCCGCCTTGAATGCTAAAGTCATCCTCGAAATTTTTCTCTCGGTTGTGGGACATAGGGATTTCTGCCTTAATTTAAATACCAGGGCACTGGATCAATATCTTCATGTCCATATTCTTTGCAGCCCTGGGGGTACTTTTGCTGTCGTTACAAAAGCAATCCAGGCTTATTCAAGATCAAAATTGACACGTCAGCTGGGTTGCCCGCTGTACCCCTCTCTGTGTGCAGCCTCACTTGGGCATCAATGCTGATTGGTCTCCCGTCCAATCAACATCTATGGTGGGATAACGACCATTTTGAAATTTTACTCACCGTCACCGTCATACCCCTTTGACGATAAATGAGACCCGAACCCCGCCCTACATATACATATTTCCGTCATATCACTCTGAATGTGTAGGAATGGTTCCCAGGTTTATGCAGTTCTAGTTCGCCCAAAGATAAACAAGCCAGCTTGTCACAGTGGGGAACTTTCCTGCTGCGCGCCTGTTGGTCTACTTGGAGTCGAAAAAGTAAACATGATAATTCGAGATCGCGGATCTTATCCATAGATGTATGTAATAGTTGGGGGCCAACATCTCGTCTTATTTTACCTAGTGGCAGCGCTTGGGATGGTGACATGGATTGGGGTGACAGGGGGAAAATCACGAGGGGCCGCTCGCCTGAATTTTCTACTATATAGAGGTAAAACTTCCTACGTCTTGCTACCTTTTAATTGCTAAGCTTTCTTCAAATGTTCTGATGTTAAATTTGCTCACCATCGCAAGAGATATTTTGACCACTTTTCATTCCTAGTTTTTCAGCCCAACTGCCTTGAACCCCGAGTCAACATTCCTTCCCAATGCGGGTTTTAGATACCAGCTCTTTGAAATTTGTCGAGTTTGACGAATTCCCCGACAAGGAATATGCCATCTTATCACATACGTGGCTAAGGCAGGCGCTGGAGGATGGCCTATGGATACAGGGCGAACTCGAATATAAGGATTTGAAACGCATTTCTGCTTCCCAGCTTGAGAATCTTAGAAATGGGGGTTGGGAGGGGTCTCGTTTGAAAAAAAAAGGCTGGGAAAAGATTGTAGGATTCTGCAATTTGGCGAGGCATGAGATGTATGAGTATGCTTGGATGGACACATGCTGTATCGACAAATCAAATCCAGAAGAGACGAAGCGCTCCATTCATGGCATGTGGGAGTTTTATACGCACGCTGCAGTGTGCTATGCTTATATTGAGGATGTGAACATGAGGGACAAAGAAGGGAAATCGGAGGGAGCATTCAACGCCGCAAAATGGTTCAGTAGGGGGTGGACATTGCAGGAGCTTCTTGCGCCTAAGAAGCTCCTCTATATGGATCGAAATTGGTGCGAGATTGGAAGCCGTGAGACCAAGGGTGCCCCGGGGACGGGATTGACTCACTTGCTCCAGAAATATGTACGAAAAGTACCCATGGAAAACGATTTGGCTACACAGCTCTCGTGGGCAGCAGCCCGAAATACAACCCGCCTTGAAGACCAGGCCTACTCGATTCTTGCATTACTGCAGATTGAAATGGATGTGGATTATACCGCAGGGAAGCATGCTTTTCTCCAGTTTCAAAGGGAATTGATCAGAAAATACGATGATCTATCTTTACTTGCTTGGTTCAGTAATCCTGGTACGTCAGCTCTACCTTTTTTTCTCTCTTTGTTTTGGTACAAAATATTCGCTAACATCGTGATTTTTCGTCCCTAGATATCCAAGACAGGTATGAAAAGCGCCATGGGGAACAAGCTCCAAAGCTAGGGATATTAGCACCTAGCATTGATTATTTCCAGAAAAAGAGGGCTCGTGGAAAAATGATCCTTACTGGGAAGCGGAAGGCACAGAACAAGACAAATCATACCCCGGAAATGGAGTATCGCTCTGATCACCGCTCTAATTATCTACATGTCCGAGCAAAGATTTTCAGAATTGGTGACCTCTACGTGAGATACAAAAGATTAGGGCAGGTAGTACGCATTATGGGCACAGTCGTTCATTATGTTGTACAATTGTTTATATACAGTACAGAGCAAGGAGAGGAGAAAAGTGTTGGAATAATCGTTGTCGAAGATCCAGAAGAAAAGGGCTGGTTTATTAGGGAGTACCACAGCAAGGGATTGTTCCTATTCAAGTATAACCCAGGAGATAAGGGTGAAAATCCTACATGCAGAGGGAGATTCAGTCCTGGATATCACTCCGAGGAGACTTGGGAAAATTGGACTATAGAGGAGCAAAGCTGGAACGAAATCAATTTCAGATGCGAATAATAGAATTATGAAAAATAATAAAAGACTACAATGTCACACAAGAGCCAATCTACAGGATGAAATGAAAATATCAACGGTAGAACTCACTTAAATAGTAGAGATATATGTGACAAACTCACAAAAACAGACCCTTAAAGAGTTCGATATATAGATTCCAAAATGAAGTGTGCTGCTTGCCCACAGAGAATGCCGCTTGCCAGTAGCCGCCTTACTCTATTAGACCTTAGCGCCTTGATAAGGGGAGGTTACCCAGTCTGGGTTGGATCTGGGTTTTAACGTTAGCAAGTTATATATCTATTTTTGGTAACTTTATATGATAGTAGGTATAGTAGGTATGCCCGCGATAGGTATGCCCGCGGGCGGTAGGCGTTATAGACGGGCACTCGAAAATCTAAATAGCCTACAGCCCACTGTAGACAGGCGATGGGTACCTCCTAGGTGCCTATGGACGGGCGATGTCGCAGTCTAGTCGAGACCTTCGACCTAAAATGGGGTTTGCGGAAGACTACCTATAGTACCTCGTAGTACCATATTGTAGCACCGAAGTTGCCTAGGTGCTGCGGGACTTATCAAGGTCTAGCTAAATCTAAGATTTAAATACAAGCCATAGAAGGCCTCTTAGTTTAACAAGCTTTTTAATTAATTACTAAGCCGGTCAAAGAGGTTAAAGCGCCTCCCCCCTGCCGGTAGAGAAGGCCTTCGTTACCTTTATAACCCTAAACGAGAGTATTGCTAATATACGGGCTATAAACAAACCAGGGTCATAAAATAAATTTATGTCTAGAGAAGAGATCATTTTATTATATTTAATTTAATGGAGTTTTGGTTGAGACATGCATTTGAAATTAGTATGTTGGGTGGGATGGCAAGCTTGGTGGTATGGCCAGCTCGGTAGTGAAATACGTTATACTCTTTAACACAATGTGATAAATGTATTAAATTTAATATTCACATATAGAGAATTAGCCAACGAATTCAATGCATTCAGTATTCAGTATAGTACCCTTTTGCCTTCCGCGTAGCAAGCAATCCTCTAGGTACAGAGCGGATCGAGTTGTCAATTATACCTTGATCAAGTGCATCCCATGCATAACTATGAAAAGTCAATGACGATGGAGAGGTTTTGTTGCGAGCCCAGGAAACCGAGGACGGGATAGCATATGAGACATATGTTTCAGCCGAAAGGAACTAGCTTTCTAATTAGGGAAGTGGAAGGGGGAGAGGGACGGTAAGAGTAAATATGAAACTTGTTCTCATTGAAGATATGTTTCGTGTACAAAGCCTCATCTTGGTATGGGAGATTGCATGTCGAGAATTAATATTCTGAGAAATGAATGGAACACAACCCGCCGAACTATGCTACCATCATGGCTTGCTAGAAGCATCAATGAGATTAGCAGTATACAGTAGGAGTGAAACAAGGGTAACTCACGGCACGCGAGGCTTCGTCACTCTTCCTGGGGTGACAGAGAGCCCAATGAATTCATCCGGTCTTTTCTTCTGATAGATATCAGTATGCCGCAAGTCATCCACGAATAATAGTCTCACTAGATGGTCGCGTTTCATATGAGCACGGAGCTTCACCACCTGAGCGACGGTGGTCTCGCGGTCATCGAACTTTGGGCAGTAGGGGCACTTGTAGGCGCAGGGAGGAATGGTCTAAGTGCAACAAGTATTAGCATCCTCTTGAAATGGAAGATTTGTGCGTTTCCTCTCACAATGATTGCGTGTTCCATCGGCCATTGGCTTGCCTGATGGTCTTCACAACCGCAAAGCTTCTTGGTCTCCTGACTGATATCCTCATTTAGCCAGTTTCAACAGTCCGATTCGAAGTGATCCTTACAGCCATCTGGTGGGTGGAATGTCCCTGGTTGACTTCCAGTAGTGACCATACATCCCGTAGTAAGGAGTCGCGGGGGCAGCTTCAGTGGGCTGAGCCGCAGATGTGATTGTTGACGTATCATTGGTCATGATGGCAGTAGCTGGATGGATATGTCTTTGAACGGTATCCTCAAGTGAGTTGATGTTGACGAGAAAGGGGGAATTTTGGAGATGATGGCTTAACAGAAGACTAGAAGACTTGGATGATGGGGAAGCAAAAGGAAAGCGGAAGGAACCCAAACGGGAAAGTGAAGTCAACACAAACAAAACCATCTGATATAGGTTCGCACGTGTGCAGGAGGTTCATGCTGGCTTGTGTTGTAAATTCTCCTACAATTGAAAACATCAGGGGCCTTGTATAGGACATATCATAATATCAAAAAGCCACCATCATAAATTCATGCCCACAAAGTATTTACAGAACATACTTAAACAGCGGCGACTTGTCTCCCATATCGAACAACTGCTCCTCGGTGTAGTTAACCCTCGCATCATCAGCAATCCTTTCCTTCCTTGCATTACCCATCTTGTATGTCCATTCGAGGAACAAAGCAACAAAGAATCCAGCCCCACCGAGTGCCAAACTGAGGCCAAACCCAGTCGTGTACTTCGGACTCTCTTTCTCGATATACATGAAGCTGCCGAGTATACCACCGATGTTGCCGACACAGTTCACGAGTGCGATACCCATAGCCCGTCGAGAAGCTGGTGCAATGTTGTTTGCATTCCAAGACGCAGCTCCGGGCTGGATGGGGTAAATACCTATGACAGATAAGACGACTGCAAAATAGGCCACGCCTTTCTTTTCTTCAAGCGCTCCGTTCAGGGACATGATTATAGAATAAGCGACCACAACAATTATCATGGGGATACAGACAAATGGCATTCGCCAATAGAAGCGATCGGATAACCGGGCAAACACAATAGCAGATATCGCGCCGGCAATATATGGAGGGGCAGAGGTGAGCTGGGCATTGGTAGAGCTGAAGCCCATGGCTTTGGTGATTGTCGGGAGGGTGAACTTGGTACCTGGATGCAAGGTCAAATTAGCCCAATGTGTCGGATAGGATTTAAAGAATGGTTACCATAAGACAAAGCCGACTGGCAAAACAAAAGGTAGGCTTGCACGTATATCCTCCAATTCAATAGGACCACCTTGAGGTCTCTCCACTTGAATCCCGCCTCCCCAGTACTAGTTCCTCCTTGCTTGATGAACATCGAAAGCTCCAGGTAGCGAATTTCTTCGGGGGATAACCAGCGCTTGGATAAAGCTGGGGTGTCGATGAGGAGGAAGAAACAGGCAATACCTAGTGCCACACTAGCAAGGCCTTCCAAGATGAATATCCACCGCCATCCCTCAAGCCCAGCAGTACCGTCCATCTTGGCAATAGCGGCAGCCAACAGGCCGGAGAAAGCACCGGAGAGGGCACTGGCACAGTAGAAGTATGAGATGCGAAGTGCCAATTCTTTAGGCATATACCAGTAGGAGCAAAGATAAATAGCACCAGGGAAGAATCCGGCCCTATAAAATAAAACATTAGAGAAAAAGCAGAATGGGGCTGATTAGTGTCACTCACTCAAAGACGCCGAGTAGGACTCGAGTGGCCATAAGACCAGCGTAGTTTTTAACCAGACCTGTGCATGTCATGATGATACCCCATGTCAAGACAAGAAGTCCAAGGTACGCTGAAGGGCGCTTGAACTTTTTGAGGATGATGTTACTAGGAACTTCAAACAGGACATAGGGAATGAAGACTATATATATCATGAGTCAATACACCTTTTGGTCACAGTCAAGAAATACTGAGCGAAATGAGTGCGTGCCGCATGAGATAAACTCACATATAGAAAGAACAGTATTATACTGCAATCCAGTCATTTTTAGATCCTGAACCATGCCTTCAATTTTCGCATTGCCGATGTTCGCACGATCAATGTGACACATCAGATATAGCACTGCGAGCATGGGGATTAAACGCTTATCGACCTGCATGGAGAGTTAGCTAGATATGTAGTATATGTGCATGGAGGTCAAGTATTCTCACCTTATGGAAGACCTTTTTCCGTTTGTCCTCCGGATAATTGTTATAGAAATCTGCATCGTCGGCAGTCAACCCGACGACACGGAAGCCTCCAACCTGAGTAACCAGAGAAGGCTTGGAAATATGTTCAAGATGAGAACTTTGATCGACGATTTCAACATCGTCTTTTCCAATAGAACCGCGGTTCATGGCTGTGGATTATAAGTAGTATCTAGTCCTGCCTTTGACTACTTCGAATAGACCAAGACCGAGAGATGTTTCTGTAGATATAAGGTGTCAGAGAAACGACATAAGCAAGTCGACCAAAACGTAGATTATATAGGCTATACAACTAGTTACACCACGTCGGATATCTTACATAGATTGGTGGAATGATTTCAGATATCAATGTGTACCCCAGTCTTGGCGATTATGTTCCAACAGCCAAGAAATGCGGGGAAGCTTGGCCATTGAAGGGCCGTGATCCAGGGATTTCCAAAATTATGCCGGACGATCTATGGGGGTGTGACCGGTAGTGGTCTCTGCCAAGGTGAGCTTGTTGAAAGACATCCAGTCACAGACCGAGCTGCTGCGGAAAGCACGGACAACCACCACGGGTGGGCATGCGGGGTGTATGTTTCCCCCCAACAGAGAAATGATGGACCTTTCTCCGGACCTTGCTCCCGGTCTTTCTCCGAGTCTTTATCCAGGGTTGTCTCCGGACCTTTCTCCGCTCCTACCTGCTCCAACCTTGTTTGGGTATATGGGAAAACACTATTTCTTATTTCTGGCCGGAATCAAAGGGATTAACATCCAGCCTCTACAAATTCATGTCATTCAATTGGTGGGGAATATGAATGGGTATCAGCCGCAGTATCAAGAAGATCATTCAGTAGTACGGATTCCGCACACGGCTTGAAATACTCATTCGGTGGCTTGCCTCGTCTAGCCCACCTGGGAAAAGCTGCTGCGAAAATCAAAAGCATCATACAAACTCTAAACCAACTCAGTGGTGGCTGACAGTACAGCTAGGGACGAAGGCATAGCTAGAATAGTCACCGCTTGTAGTCCACTACTTTTAGTCTTCCCCTCTCTCGAGGTTGCATGTCTCAATTTCATGTCAAGCTGGGATGTTTCTTAGTGAGTAACTCGCTTGGTAGCCGCGTAAGAACATATAGGCTACCCCGCATATGTCTTGTATGAGGCCTGGCAATCTCCGCGTAGACAAGAAATATGTAGTACTAGGTCCACGCGGGGTAGCAAGTAAGCCAAAAAGCGTATAGACAAATATGTTCAAAGCTTTCTCAATCCCAAGGGCGGTGTTGACCCGCTTGCATACGAGATTGAGGCCACAAAGGCGCCGCGTGCTGCGTTCTCAGACCAGCACATCTTCGCTGGCAGGTTAGGATGACTATGGCGAAGAAATTACCTAAATACCTTTATGTGAAAGCTCGGGGTCAACTTGTCGATATTTTGCCATGTTATCAAACTGGTAATCCAATATATATATCGGCGTTAGATTCTGCGAAGGGGTTTTCCTTCGGCAAATAATTTTAATAACCAAAAAAGCTGTTCATAACATCTAAGCTTATCGACTTCCAGTAATGTGAATATTGCATACATGTATTGTGCAGGAACTGAGATATCGCTCAGAACTCGATCCGCCAGGCCTTTCCAATGCCAACATCCGGCTTCTTGACCACAACATAGGACGCCTTCCCGCCCTCCTGCTCATGGAACTCCAACGAGGCTGTAGAGCCTGACTTAGCTCCATCTTCAATGACAGTGACAGTGTTCTTAGCCTTCCATTCGGCGGGAGGGTCAACGATCACCACCCGCTCAACCGTCACACCAGCCATGGTCTTGAGGTACTCAGCAGTCTTGGGTCCCTTGATCCCAATGTCCTCCGACGACAACACTGAGTCGCGGTAGTTGAAGCGGCGGTGGATGTAGGCGCCACGCTCGTAGTCGAATGTCTCGCCATCATCCACGTACAGAGTGCCCTCCGCCTCGCTATTCTTGTCGAGAGTAATGACAAGTGTATACGGATCCCATCGCATAAGACCGGTACTGCGACGAGGACGATCCTTGCGGGGAATGATATGACCACCTTGGATCAATACAGGCACCTTCTCCTCCGGTGCAGGGACGGTGTGTTTCTTGCCCGCGCCCTGGTAGACGGTGAAATCGAAGTAGTCATAGTACTTCTCGTCGTCTGAAATATACACATCCGCGCTGTAGGTGTTCTCCTGCACAACAGGCTTCACGAGAAGACCCGTGGAGCCAAGGTACAGCTGATCATCGATGGCAAAGCCTTGCTCGTCCTCTGGGAACATATAGTACTGAGGGCGCACGATCGGCGTGCCGTTAACTGAGGCTTCATGGAAGGCAGTGTACCAAGCAGGCATAAGTTGGTAGCGCAGGCGAATCGCCTGAGCGATGTAGGACCGGTGCGGTTCGCTGATCAGATATGGCTCACGACGACGAGTATCAATGTGAGCATGCGCGCGGAAGAAAGGATACCAGATACCTGTCTGGTACCAGCGGGTCAAAAGGTCCTTATCAGGGTTATGGAAGAATCCTCCGACATCTGCGCCGGCAAAGGGGAAGCCTGCGATACCGTTGGTCAGGACCATGGGAAGAGAAGCCCCAAGGTGGTCCCAGGTGGCCTGATTATCACCAGTCCACATAGCAGACACACGCTGGGCCCCAGAATAGTATGAGCGCGTCAAGATGAATGGCCGGCGCACCTCACCCTTCTTACGCTCCAGCATTGCTTTGTAGGTGGCGTTCACAAGGGTGAGACCATTCAGGTTGTGAATATCACGATGTTCCCAGTTTCCATAGTGCAAGTTGTCCTTGGGCATGGTCATATCGGGCCCGTTGAAAACGGAGGGTTCATTCATATCATTCCAAATGAAAAGATTCTGAAGCGATCCCTTGAATTTGTCGAACTTATGCAGGGTGGCCCACCAAGCTTGTGCAGCGGGATTAAAGCAGTCGACCCAGTTCGAGGAACCTGGCCAGCACCATCCATCGTAAATATCGCCATCCTTGTTCAGCACAGCCAGATTTTTGCTTTTGAGCTCGTCGGACACAAAGTACTTGTCCGAGTTCTTAATGTGAGGATCGATCAAAACCACAAGCTTTCGCTCCGTTTCATCGAGCTTTTGCTGCATACCCTTGGGATCGGGGAAGGTAAGTGGGTCCCAGGTGAAGTATTTCCGGTCATCGGTATATTCAAGATCAAGCCAAATCACATCATACGGAATCTGGTACTTGTCAAACTTGGCGTTGACTTCTTTCACATCCTCATCTGTAACATAGTTCCAACGGCATTGGTGATATCCAATGGCAAACTGCTGGGGCAATTGTGTATATCCCGTGAGTTCACCATACGTTTTACTGATATCATTCGGCGAAGGCCCGAGGAAGACGAACAGGTCAATCTGGCCGGACTCGGAGATCCAATGAGTCTGTGTATCTGTTTTGGAGCGAGCGCCCAAGGCAAGGGGATTAGAGGAGGCAGTCGACTTGACAATATCGATCCACGTTTCCGCTGCATTGAGCCAGAAGACTCCGACAGTGGAGTTCTTGCGGTGGGCCTGCATCAGTGGGATGGCTCCGTACAACGTCATCGGGCTTTCGAGTTCGTACTCGAAGACATCCGAGTTGTACAGACGGTAAGGGTCCTCATGATTGCCAGATCCACCTCTAGTCTCCTTGAGTGAGAGTGAATCTGCGTGCTCTGGGATACCAAATACATGACTATAACCGGGGAAGGTGATATCAAGGGCAACACTCTCGGGACCACGCGGCTTTGAGTCAGTATTTCCTCCAAACGTCTCCTCCCACCAGGTGCCCTCGTCCTCGTCGGATTCGCCGTCTTTCCCGTCTACCTTCGGTCGCCAGTGCTCCATGTTCAATAAGCCTTGGTGATTCAACTGAACATGGGTCTGTCCATCTCGCTGAAATTCGACCCCAAATGGCGCATGGCGAACGATTGCTTGGAATTTGTCGCCCGGTCCGTACAAAATATTGGTGAATCCAGTTTCACTCTGAGCATTCAACGTGGCCGACTTGCTGATTTCCAGACCACCCACAATGACCCATTTTTCAGTTTCATCATAGCGCTTCTTGTTCGCTTGGCTGCCATGTCGCATTTCAATGTCGCCCTTCATCCGCTTCTCTTCATCTACCACAATGCGGGCGGCTCCCGATTCCAAGAAAGACACTGTGAGAGGTAGCCGGACCTTCTCATTGGCGGTTGTTGTTTTGACAATGACTCCCGTGAGCATGCCATCTTTGAAGTGTACGGTAGCGGGGTCGAGCTCGTAGGGTGAGCTCCATGAAGTCCCTTGGGAGGAGGCGTTATCGGCGTAGGCACGGTTTCGTTTGCAGAATCCGGACTGCTCGCAAGTTTTGAAATCCTTGTTCTTCACAGCCACTGTTTGTACCATGAGAGTTAGCTTTGTGTAATCTTGCAATTTGGCGAAATGTAGCCTTACAACCGGGGACAACAATGCATCCGAGGAGGATAACCAAGGAGAGCAACATTGCCCAACGGGGCGCAGGTAGATTCCTGGCCATGGTGAGATAAATAGTATGATCAATCAGAGACCCTCAATCTCCGACAGAATGGCGTTGGCTATCAATGATTGACCTGCATTTAGAGGTGGAGATGCCATCAACAGAAGCTACAAGCTGGCCTGAGCTGGGGTAAGACACCTAAGGCAACAAGGCAGCCACAGTAGCTTCTGAACCAATCAAATTTGTTTTTCGTCTGAACCAATCGGTGTCCGCGATATGAACCCCTACTGCTTCTATAATGCCCAGGCTGTACGAAGTACAAGGAGCTTTATTTGTGATGCCAGCTAGGCTTCCAGATCCCCCTCAGCATTTGCCACAACAGCCGGCTGCTTGTACAGTACTGTAGGTCGAAAGCAGCAATCCCCTCTGGCAGCCGCTGTTCGTTTAGAAGCTTGACGATCCCACAATCATACAGTTAATGGAGATACGGTCTGCGACTACCGTGAGTATGTATCATATGAAACATCGGAAATTGTTGCCAGTGACTTACAGCAGTTGCCTGGCCTGGCATGGGCTGCAGAGCCTAGATTCTCCTGCACTATGGAGAAGGCGTAATGTAATCCGCCCGGCAACCTACGAAAAACACGATGAGTTCTACCCAAATGGTAAAACTGGAATTTAATCCTCCCAACCGTTTCTACCCCTACCGCTTGCCCAACTCCCAATTTTTCTACCAATTTCCTTGCTTTAGGAGTAGCTTCACTCGCCATTTTTCTTGAATCTCCTCGTCTGCCTTCTTCGAAACTTGCCAATTACCAGTTTTCACCAGGTCTTCATCCTTCTTAGGACAAGACGTAACTTCTGCCGAATACTTTTGTTACTGTCTGCATTACTACGATATCCAGACATTTAAGTAATTCGACGTGAACTGGAGGATTTGGGGTGACTACCATCCGCCAATATTCACTCAAGCATTTTCTATTCTGAGAAGATTCTGAGCTCTTTGTATAGCTCATTTGCGGAGGCCCGATCCCTTGGATTTTATCATAGCTCAGACCATTCTCATTGAGAGCCAAGTTTGGTATTGCATGTGTCGACGTGCAATAAAAGGTAGCGCGTGCCAAAATGCACGTTTGACACTAATTAGCGTACACATCAAACTTTCGTGCGCAGGTTGTATTACACGGCGAGACGCCCAGTATATGTAGAATAAGGGCCTGTGAAAATGATAGATGCCGAATCCCTGTACTTGAATATTTCATGAATAGAACAAAGTATATTTTGAAAGAATTTGCATTCCAACACCTAAAATTGAGGTCAAAACTTGAACCAAAGAAAACCCATTCGTATCATTCAACAACAGTAAATTCGACAAAATTAGATGACGGGACCATTATGACTGGCCTTCCATCATTATCAGCGGGGTTGACGACACGACCATGCAGCCAACATGGTAATTTCACTACCGTCTTCGCATGCTCTTCGCAATCACCCCAAATCCACCAGTCAACGCGGCCACCACAGTACTGGTATCGATATGTGTCGCCGACCACTGTATCGGGATGCAAGTCGAAAATTTCAAGGCGATATTTTCTGACAAAAGATTCCCCTGGTTTGAGGCTGCGGAAAAACTCGGGATCCGTGACGTTGACCTCAACGTCGGGCTCATCTACAATCCGCCAACCCGGATTGTACTCGTCGTCAATATAAGTCTTCCACTGTGTAGAATTCCCGTTTGAATCTTTCGACGGATCGTAATCGAGGCAGCGACGTTGCAGTCGAAAATGTTCATAAGTAAAAGGGTAATCGTGTATGATTATCGGCTTTATGTCATCATTGATAGCCTCGTTGTCCTCATTCGTTGGACCATCATAGGTGATCTTCATTGTAGCATAAAAAGGCTTTTCCGTTTTAGACATTTCTGATGGACCTTCCAGAAACACACTCATACAAGGGGCTCCAGGACTGTAAAAAGTGTATCAGTCAGGAGAAAGACGGATATCAGGTTGCAGAATTTCTCACATTCGTTCTGATTTCTTCACCAGAGGGTCCTTGTACGGCCCAGGCTCCAAAGGTTCTTCCGCCTCTACGCAGAGAAAAGAACAGGAGGCTCCCCCCGGGATGAGAACACGGGGTAGCCCGGAGTTAACCCCAATTTCTTGCTCCCAATGCTCGCGCAAGGTGCCCCAAGCCCACAAGGCATATTCAGCCCCAAGCCAGACTAGCTCGTATCTCTCACCAGCCACCATGTGGTCCAAAAAGAGATCCGGGGCGCCTATATTTCTTCTGAGAGTTTGTCCAGGAAGAAGTTCTTCTGTCTCAACTTCATATCCTGTGAGCTTGAGAGTCTGAGGAAGTGGCCGCTCGGGCTTTCCTTCGACCCTTTCTAGACCATCTGGCGTGTGTTGAAAGACTACGAAGCCAGAGGGACCCCATCCATCATACAGGGCGCTCCAGCGGAAGATACAGGGCTTGTCACAGTCATCCTCTGCCCGACGAATAGTGATAATGAACCCTCCTGTCGGACTAGCTAAAGATATAACTGAGAGTGTCGGCTCAACCTCGATGGAAAGTCTGGGTGTGTTTGGACTAAGATGTTTGTTAGTTTGGAACAATGGGCAGGTAGGGGGAATCTCACGGTCTATCATGTTCAAAGAATCTAATAATTGATTTAAGCTCAGGATCCATGGCAACTTGATTATAAAGGCATGGAGGAGAATAAAGAAGGTAAGAACAAACAGGGAAGGAAAAGGATGGCAGAAGAGAGAGAGAAAGAGAGAGAGAGAGACCCGTTGAACTAGTAGGTTGAACTAGTAGGTGGGGTGGCGCGCAGAACCCTTTTTCTCAGTAATTTTCAATTTCACAGGCACGTAGGGTGAAATAGATCATACTTATTCAGATATTCAGATAAAATGTCAAAACATAGAGGATTTATGGATATCCATGAATGTAAAACAGCAGGTCATATTTACTGATGGAAAATGGTAAAATATAAGGAATTAACGATATCCTACTAAAACATCACTGAAAAAGCTCTATGTGATCTAAAACTAAAAGCCAAAATCATGATCTGGTATATAAATATAAAGTTTCACCCCAAAAGCGGCTGTCTTTCCCCTTCCTCCGCACGTCGAATCTGTCGCAAAGATAACCATAACAAAAATCCTTGCCCCAGAGCGAAGAATGCATCATCGATAGCGACAAACCCAACCATGTGGTACCATGCATTGATAACCATAATGATTGGGTATTCACCATCTAGGTATAGATCCCATGGAACAGTGACTCTTGGGACCCAGGAAATGGCTGAGAGCATGAAAGCCGCGGTCTGAAGCTTCAGCCCAGTCAGATTTTGAGTTTGTAGAGGCATGAGGGCTTGTTTGAATATTCCTATGACAAGTGGTATAGTCGTAAGAAATGGCAGAAGTATGACGGAATGAAGGCCCTCGAAGAGAGCAATTGCATCTCGCTCAACTGCAGGGCAGTTCGGATGGTGTGGAGGGCAGAAGATATCAGAAACTGCATCTGCGATGACAGGGACTATGGATACAACGAGAAAGCTGAAATAAATGACTACTGTCAAAGCCTTCCGAAGGCGACTAGTGGCTCTGTTGTAGAGGTTGAGCCCCAATCTAGACATTTCTGTCAGTCTCTGGTCGCTATATGATTACTAGGAAGTGCAATGAATTGAGCTCACAGGATATTCCACAATGCCCACACACCTAGCACTTGACCAAAATTGACCCAGTCAAGTGCATTACGTGGATGGTGCGTCCAGTAACCTGTCTCAACAGGGATATTGATGGTGTAAAAGAAGACAAACAGTAGATGCTCCGTTGAACAAAAGACATTGTAAAGTAGGTAGAGCAATGAAATGTCTCTAGTGCCCTTGTCTAGCCAAGCATGGCGTATATGAGGAGCGAAGGAGGTAAAGATCAAAATAAGTATAATGCTATTTGCTTGTTAGTGTTTCTGGAAAATCCATAGTTCTAGTTCCACATATGCAGAGAGGAATACACACAAGCTGATAATGGCTAGCAGCATGCTGTGCGACCACTATTAGGACTCAGGGCAGATAAGGTGAATGAATGAAATATAATGAAAGGTAAGGGAGGTACGTGGAAAGTGAAGGGAGGCGCAGAACGAGGTGCTAAAAAAAAACTAAATCAACAAATAGCTCGGACTAAAGAGCTAGACATACTAGCAAGATTCAGAAAGGCTTAGTGTGGTCTAAGGTCGCCCTAACGTTGCATTTGTCTCATCGGTAATGGAACCAAGCAAGCGGCTCTGAGATGAGACATGAGCTCGAGGGCAAGTATGGTTTAGTCTACTTTAATTCTCCAATAGATCCATTCGCTCAATGCATGCAAAAAATAAAACTCAGCCGGGGCCGAAAATCACCGTCGCCATTTGCCAAGATCAGCTAGTTCAGTAGTTCACTACTCCGTATAAGGTTGAAATTGAGGATAAAAGTTAGAAGCGAAATATATAAAGTTACTACTCTAAAATGTATAAGTTATATAGCTATAGGATCCTAGTATGTTTATTATATTTGTTACCTCTTTAGGTACCTAGGTTGGGTTGGGTCCGGCCCGTCCGGGTCCAATTTGGTTCTGGAGAAGGTAAATATTGAGAGTGATCACGTGCCTTAAGGCACTAAGGTGTCTATATTTCAAAAGTTGATCACGTGAAGTCACGTTACTACCTAATTTCTCGACTAATCAGAGGCCAGATCTCAAATCTGAAAGGGGGGAAATTAGACCTAGTAATTAAGAAATTCAATGTTCAATTCTACGTATATTTGCTTCGCTTCGTTCAGCAAAATAAAAAACTTCCTAATCTATAAATAAACAAAGCTATAGTATAATAAGAAGCTATGCTAGATGCGAGTTGGCATCCCATGTGTTAGAGACCTTGAAATTGTCACGGAGATGAGTACTCTTATTTGCCTTGGGCTTGTATTTTCAGGTTGATAAATGTTTATATTGTAGTTGGTTGTATAACAAACGTGTAAAAGAGTAAAAGAGTACAAGAGTACAAGAGTATATATAGTTATAGCTTCTCAACGGCAAGGTCCACCACTGTTGGCCTTAGCATTCTGGCACGAACACCCCTCCCTTACCCACCAATCATCGGCCCAACTGAGAAGCCCGAATTTTTTAAAAGGCCTCTATTTAATCTTCCCCTCTTCCTGCTCTCCTTTCCTACTTCATATCTGAATTATTATTCTCATACATTCAAAATGTCCGCCAACGAGGAACAGACGTATGTGCCCCAAAATCAGCCTTCCCCTAACCCTCTTCTCTTTCGATTTGCCATTACCCCTCAATGCCGGTCAAGCTAATCAATTGCTTTAGTTTCATTGCCATCAAGCCCGATGGTGTCCAGGTACGAACACAGCACTATTCGACCCGAATCCATCACGGACCTGGAAGAGTTTGCCCAATTGAACAACATATACTGACAATGTCAACCAGCGTGGACTCATTGGCCCCATCATCTCTCGCTTCGAGAACCGTGGCTTCAAGCTCGTTGCCATGAAGCTCACCTCCCCCAGCCAGGAGCACCTCGAGAAGCACTACGCTGATCTCGCTACCAAGCCCTTCTTCAAGGGTCTCGTCGCCTGTTAGTTGCATCTCCCGAACTGTTCCGCAAATCACAATACACTAACACAGCTCTAGACATGCTGAGCGGCCCCATCTGCGCTATGGTCTGGGAGGGTAAGGACGCCGTCAAGACCGGCCGTGTCCTCCTCGGTGCCACCAACCCCTTGGCTTCCGCCCCCGGTACCATCCGTGGTGACTTCGCCATCGTAAGAGATCCCCTGATGCTCTAGTGTCGCGTCATTTTATACTAACAATTCACTAGGATGTCGGCCGCAACGTCTGCCACGGTTCCGACTCCGTCGAGAACGCCAAGAAGGAGATCGCTCTCTGGTTCGGTGCCTCCGAGGTCCTCAAGTACACCTCCGCCCAGTCCGCTTGGGTTTACGAGTAAATTCCTCGTCTTTAACTAGACTGGTCAAGCAGATCTCTTGTTCGGATACTTCTAGCATCGAATAAAGCAGCGGTTCTGAGGAAGAAGTCGAATGGCTTTGGAAAATACACAATATACAAATTCATATTATTCATGAATACGGCTTTTCCTAGTACCACAGTAATGTTCGACGAGCTCATCATCTTCTGAATAGCCGCCTGGCGAGGTTAGCTGTCGGTGTAAAGACCGACCTTGCAAACCACGGTGTCGCCCAAACACTGGCTGCCAACCGGGCTGGCAACAGAGCTTTCGTGATCGCATAGGCCGTAGCAAACTCCAGCACCAATCGAACCCCTGATCGGTCCACCGATTTCTCTGCGGTGGTTTCATGCTCCGTAACAGTATTCACGTCGGATTCATCCACCCAACCTTTCTTCTTCAGCCAGCGACCGAAACGCGCAGCTCCTTCGTCGAAGGCATTGGTCTCGCCTGTTTGAGATGCAAGATCCGGCATCCAGGCACCATAATGAAACGCGCCAACCAGCCCGAATAGTGGAACAATAGCGGTGAGTTCGTGGAGTATTAGGAATGATGTGATATGGGTGACTGGCGCTCCAAATAAGGGTGTGGTATATGCGCGGAGAAACCGAGGAAGCCGGTCGTTGAACCGGCGCAGGCGAGAAGGAGAGTCACTAGAGCTCGACTGTGACGGCTTCGGTGGCTGCGGAGGAGAGGGAGTGGAAATATTTCGTCGCGACGCATGCGGTCTAGTGTTTCGAGCTGTTTGGAGACGGAGATAGCGGAGAAGGTTGGGTGGTCGAGAAGCCATGTTTTTTGCGAAGGAATTGGCGAACTTGTGAAGTTTTAAATGAGAGATTAAATATGTTCAAATGAGAGTAGTCCCCCAGCAGCCAATATGCAAGAATGCAAAACAGTGTGCTCGCGTTAAGCTTGTCGATCTCGATCTGAGAAATGACGATTATCTCGCTGAGTCATCTATAGCGCTGCCACTTTTTTTTTCTGTAGCTCTTCAGGAGCAAGATAGAGTCCCTCCTTGCATAGAAACTGTATTCAAGCCTTTAGATTCATGTAGTTCATTTGCAGGAGGCCATTAATGCGCGATGGCCACTGAGATCGGCAGCTGTAGACATCACCGTTCCCGGTACGACTGGCGCAGATGGTGACATGGTCCACTTTTACCGAATCCTCTCTTCTTCATTCAACCCCTCCCATTGCCGACCCATTCACATAAAGGCCGCAATGGAGAAGAAGATCACTGAGAAGATCGCGGCTCTGCCGCCAGATGCCAACTACTTTTCCTTGGAGTTCTTCCCTCCAAAGACCCGGATGGTGGGGGTTACCCCGCGTGCTGAATGGATCGTGGACATTTGCTAATATGGTTTACTATAGGGTTTCGCCAACCTGTCCGCGCGTCTGGAGCGAATGGCCCAAGCACTCCGTCCTCTGTTTGTTACCGTTACTTGGGGAGCCGGTGGTAGCACTGCGGCACGATCGCTCGAACTGGCCGAAGTATGCCAGCGCCAACTGCAGTTGACGACCGTCCTGCATCTGACGTGTACGAACATGAGCCGCAAACTGGTGGATATGGCTCTAGATGAGGCCAAGGCTCTCGGACTTCGCAACATCTTAGCCCTACGAGGAGATCCGCCCCGCAGTGAGGAATATAACATGCACGGAGAGGATGATAGTAACAAGGATTTCACCTTTGCCGTTGATCTGGTACGATATATTCGCCAGACACATGGCGACTACTTCTGTGTTGGTGTTGCAGCATACCCGGAGGGCCATCCTGCCGACACCTTCCAAGACGTCCAGGATCCGGCCAGAGATATTCCTTACCTGGTCGAGAAGACACAGGCTGGAGCAGATTTCATCATGACCCAACTGACCTACGACATTGAAGCTTACCAGAAGTTCGAGAACACGCTTCGCAACCATGAGTCTGGGGCTTTCAAGACTATCCCTATCATTCCGGGCCTGATGCCCATCCACAGCTATAAGATTCTGACCCGGGTGACTAAGCTCAGCCATGTCACGATCCCACCTCCCATTGCCAGACGCATGGACGAATTGAAGCACGACGACGATGCGGTCAAGCGCGCTGGTGTGGATATTGTTAGCGAGATTGTGGGTGGTATGAGGGACATTCCCTCCCCGGGCCCGCGAGGATTCCATTTCTACACCTTGAACTTGGAGAAGACAGTATCATTCATCCTGGAACAGTGCGACTTGATTCCGTCGTACTCGGATGCCGGAGACCTTGCTATCGAGGATGATCCCGCATCCATTCCCCTCGATTTCCCCGGACGTGCGTTGCGAAGACGCCGTGCATCCTCTATCAACTCGCAACCTCACAACCGCGTCATTGTGGACAAGCTATCCGTCCACGAGTCATCGCAGGACTCCGTTCATGAGGCTCGCGCAGACAGCGCAGGCATTCCCGCACCCCCGCCAAACCGCAGCACTACTCTTCTCATCTCCGAGGGTCTTGGTGCCCTTGGCAGGGAAGCAACATGGGATGACTTCCCCAACGGCCGATGGGGTGATGCTCGCTCACCTGCCTTCGGTGAGATTGACGGCTATGGCCCATCGCTTCACGTCACTGCCAACTCCGCCCGTAGGCTATGGGGCCACCCAGTTGACGCCAAGGATATGAGCACAATTTTCCGGCGCCACGTCTCGGGAGAGCTACACATGGTTCCGTGGTCAGAGGGTGGTGCCGAAGAGAACGGCGAAGGTTTGAATGCAGAGACTGAGCTGATTCGACCGGAGCTGTTGAAGCTCATTGACGGCCGCGGCTGGTGGACACTGGCGTCGCAGCCCGCAGTGAACGGTGTACACAATGACCACCCCATCTTCGGCTGGGGTCCTCAACGAGAAGGCTTCGTCTTCCAAAAGCCATTTGTGGAGTTCTTCTGCTCGAACAACGACTACACTAACATCCTGAAGCCAATGTTTGCTAAGCACGGTCACGACAAGCTCACCTGGTTCGCGACAAACATCAAGGGCGATTTCGAATCCTCGCTCCCAGTCCAGCCTGCCGATGTGGAGCTCGATGACCTTGGCTCCAACCCCGAGAGCGTCAACGCCGTTACCTGGGGTGTCTTCCGCGGGAAGGAGATCGTCACACCCACCATCATCGAGGAAGTGAGTTTCCGCGCTTGGGGCGAGGAGGCTTTCCGAATCTGGGATGAATGGCGTCGCATCTACCCCCGCGGATCGCCCACTGAAACCTACCTGGACACAACAAAGAACGACTCCTGGCTCGTGTGTGTTGTCGGCCAGCAGTTCGGTGCCGGTACCAAGCAGGGTTCCAAGGAGGAGGAAGACGAGGTTAAGTGGATGTGGCGGGTCTTGGCGGGCGAGGAGGCTTAAGAATGCGTCTTTCTACAAATCGGGATAAAGATATACCCTGTGTCAATGAGGTTTCCTACGGTTGACGGTTTAATGAGGGCAAGCCTGGACATATGAACTATGAATGGCACAAAATCTGAATTTATGTATACTAGTCTTGACCCCATCCCATTGAGATGAATATTACGATTATGCGTGCACTCCTGCTTTTATATATACAAGAGTAGTCGGCCGCGTTTGCGGCCTTGTGATGTCTTTTTTAGTAGGTCTTTTTGGCTAGTCTTTTCAAATGTCTATTTAGCTGGTGTTTTGAGGCGTATGTGAAGGTGGTAATAAATGCATACTTTGTGCAAGCGACTTTTCTATGTATAACCTGCGAGTTTATCTTGATTGATAGATTTCATACGCTAATTGCTAAGCAAATGCTTCTATAAATATGCACCATTTCTCATGCAAGCTCTTGCCAGAGGCGATTTCACTACAGCAGGCTTGATCACAACTTCTCGGCAAAACCGTGCTCCTCGAGTCCGCTCGCGTCAGTGTCGGGGGTAGCGATTTCAGACTGGGTCTCGGCGAACTTTTGTATAGCATCTTCAAGTTGGCCCCATACCTTAGGCATACGGCGGGGCTGGTTAGGCCCGTTGGCTGGGAGTTGATATCCACGTAATCTAGGAAGATTGTTAGCGATTTGACGCAAAATAACACATTGGGAGTCGACATGCCTAGGACCTTGTCCACTACTCTCTGGCATCGAAGAGGAATAAACACGAGCAAATGTCTCAACATTCTGCTCGAAGGACCCGCGTTGGATACTCTCCCGCACCCCTGCGAAGAAGGTATCCATGACGTGGAAATTATGGACTTGAAGGAGCGCCCAAGCAGTCATCTCCTTGGCAAGCAGGAGATGGTGGATATAAGCACGATGGTAATTCTTGCAGGTATAGCATTTACATCCCTCGCCCAGCGGGGATGTATCCGTAGCGTGACCTTTAGTCCACAGATCTACTCCCAAAGGCCGAGGCTCGGATTTGCCCTCTTGCAGGGCAGCTGGAGCGGGGAACACGAATTCCATCGCGATACCACCATCTGACGCTTCGCCCAGCAGGGGCGTGGTAAGAAGGTCTGCTCCTAGGGATACGTCTCGTAGAATAGTGTGGGGAGTCTCGGGCTCACTAAAGAGCAACCGAGGAAGGTTCGCCAACGACTCTGGGACGAATCCCAGTGACGCAGACTGATATAGCGCGAGGCCGGATATATCCCATCGGAACTCGCTCTCCAAATCATCCAAATAGAGGGACTGTTGCGCATTATCAAGAGGCAACACTGGTGCAAAATATGCGCTCTTGGACTTTTCTTCTGCTGGTACAGCGTCCCCATAGAGCTGCTCCAATGCATCGCGAGTCCAGGCATGCGTCCGGTCAACCATCTTTGCTCGCCTCTTGGATCCGGGCTGCTTATTAGCCAAGTCCACCATCCCGACCGTAATATCAGGTCTCAGTTTTTGAACCGCCTTCACATATTCATGCGCAGATAACTGGGTGAACCCGACTGAAGTCAGCAGCGCGATGGAAGACGATGTATTCGCTGGCGGGCATGGGATCGGAGGGAATCGCCGCGGACCTAGGATCAAAGGCATGTCCTCGGCGACACAGATGAATTTCTTCAATGGGGACTCATGATCGGCGGCGGGTGTCTTGTAAACGGGGGCCTGCTTTTTCGCGATGACTTAATACATGCCCGGGGGCATGCGCTGTCAGTTTTATGTCCGATGAGAAAAGGATTGTAGTCATCATGCAGCATTCCGCTTACAGTCTTCTAGTCCAGCATACAAGCTGTTGATCTCTGTGTGATCGCGCATCACATCGTGCGCAACATGTGGGACTGTGCCCCGCGAAGTGAGCGGGACATGGTGCGGCGTCGCGAGGGTCTTGCGGCCTGGAATTGCCAATTTGCCTACTCGTGGCGCAAGGACTGGAGTAGTGGAGGCCAGGACACTGAAGGTCATCGCTGGGGACGCGGACGTCGCTTGGTCCATGGCGTGCGTGGTTATTGAAAGACTATGTTTTGGGCGGCCTGGATCTCGTTCTTATCGGCCAGGAGAAATCGGATGTCCCGATAAACATCGCCCTCACTATCACTATCCTCCTTCGGAACCATTCGTTATTTTGCATATCTTCAGCAAGAATCGAACATCTTGATCTCCAATTCTCAAACATTCTATATATAATTCCACCCCTGCGCTCCAGTCAATCATGGCAGGCCCATCAGCAACCCCGACACGACGCGGAGCTCTCATTGTCGTCGAAGGACTCGACCGCGCTGGCAAATCGAGTCAGTGTGAGATGCTACGGGATTCCCTTTCACGACAAGGGCGCGCGGTCAAATACATCCGATTCCCAGGTACTTAATTGTTCGGTTGTTATGGGTGCATTGGTCTAATAATTTCCTCTAGAC